CCCCCCCCCCCCAGTCCTTTAAATGTGAAATCGAAGTCTGCATTACAAATGGCAGCACAGCAACTGGATATGGCTGGAGAAGCCTCTGTTCTCCTGGAGAGATATTTCTGGATCTTTTATGGGCAATTCCATTTCATGTCGCAAGAACTCTGTGTGTGTGTGTGTGTGTGTAACAGACAGGTATGTGTGTGAGAGGGAGGAAGGGAGGGAGAGAAGAGGGAGGGAGGGAGGGAGGAGGGAAGGGAGGGAGGGAGAATTCTAGCAAAGCAATATGTCTCTGAGTACTAGCAGGTAATGCTACCCTAAATAACTTGAGCTTCCACTGGCTGGCTTTTGTTCACAACAAGTGAATCCTTTCAGGTACAGACCTATATAAAACAGAGGGACGAAAGGACGCACTGAAATCGTGATCTCTTCTGCTTCGTAAGGTAAGTCAGCATTCAGCTAACAGCTGGACACTGAAGAGTACAAATGAGGAGTCACTTGGAAAGACTGTGCAGCAGCTCTTGGCTACATGCTGGCATGTGATACAGATCTTATGTTCTATCAGATGAGTCACAGATACTGAGTAGACTAAGCTGGTGGTTTTGACATTGCTTTTCAATTGCTTCCTTTCTTTGCATGCAAAAGAAATGTGTTCAGTGTAATATAGAACATCTCTGGTGGCAAGGGAGGGAGGGTTCTGTGTGCTGTGGCGAATCCACAGCTCTGGAGGGGACCATCAGCAGTTATGGGTGGGCCAGTGCATGCTCTCATCTCCCAATGTGCCACCAAGATCGCATTTTCTAGACACTGCACAAAGCAGAGCCAGCACTGTAGCTGACTCCTCAGGAGAAGCCTCCCTCTAGGAACTGTGCAGTAACTAGTCGTGGGGCTAGTCAGTCATGGGGCTTGAACTCTGGGCTTGGGCCATGTCCCTGACCTCTTTTGCTCAAGGCAGGCTCTCTACCACTTGAGCCACAGCTCCATTTCTGGTTTTCTGGTGCTTTATTGGAGATAAGAGTCTCACGGACATTCCTGCCTGGGCTGACTTTGAACTGCAATTCTCAGATCTCAGACTCCTGAGTAGGTAGGATTACTGGCGTGAGCCACCAGTGCTCAGCTTAGTCTGCTATTTTTTTTTAAAGGTGGAACCATTAACGTCTTGGAGTTGCAAGTAAGCTGTAAAGAAGGAAGTATATGTGTGAGCAGAAAAAAATACCCTACGGAAGCAGGAACTGTCAGAGCATGCTTAGATTGATTTGGGGGGATTGGCAAACCAGTTCAAGAGAACCCGGTTTGAAATCAGGTAGTGGAAGGTGGAGGAGCCCGGGTCACAGGTGAATTCCCAGCGGGACACCTGGCTCTGTCACCTGCCAACCACACCCAGGATAATTCGGTCTGGGAATGGAGTCTGAATCCTCTTGTGTGAGACAGTGTGCAAGGACATGTGTGCATTCTGGGGGTGGTGGAGAGGATTCCATGATGCCACTTGGTGTTCTAGAACATGCTTAGTGCTCTGGCCTCACGGTGTGGCTTTGATGCCAATACGTGCTCCCCACAGCCAGCCCTCCTGTCCTGAACCTGGAGTTTTGCTGGACTTTATGAACCACCTTTGCTCCTCCATTTCTCACCACCCACCCAGCAGCTGGCAGAGCCTCTTCTGCCCTTTTGCCTGGGAGGAAATGGGCACAAGGGGTAGCAGGATTGCCAAGTGTGGCGAGCTGGGCCAGGTCAGGCTCTCAAGTGTGGCCAGCATTCTGCTGTCTTCCAGCAGAGATTCAGAGGAGAGCAGAGCTGCCTGGAGTCTGTGCCAGGCCAGGAGCCTGTGCCAGCCCAAGAGTCTGTGCCAGCCTGTTGGTCACAAATACCCCCAGCATGAGGAGAAATAACACTTCATGCAGCACTGAGTGAGGTGTGACCAGACTTGGAGGTGGGGTGAATGAATGCAAACCATCCGTTCACACAAACTCGCTTTGGCTGCCTGAGCGGCCTGGTGCGGGTCCCTGGCCCAGCCAACACTCTGCTCCCGGGCTCTGTGCGCATCACTGCCTGCATGTTGAATGGTCTCTCTCTCCACCTTACTCTGCAAAACCACATGGCCGTTCCTTGGGTGACCGCCTGGCCGGCCTGGGAACGAAGCCAACAAGCTCAGCAGATGCTAAGGCGATAAGCTAACTCCTCTGGAGCATTCCGGGATCAGCCTTGCCCTGGGCCAGGGGTGAGGTTCTGTCCAGTTCTTTGCTCTCTGCAGGCTCCGGCAATGGACGCATGTCTCAGCTCTGCGCCTCAGCACCAGGGTCTGGGAGAAGCCATGAGCCACGACTGGTTAGAAGCCCCGGAGGTGGGGGCTTTCCAGGAAAGTGACTCCGGGGGACCCCCAGGAGGTAAATCCTTCTTCAAGGCACTGTTTCCATGGCCATGGTGTTTTCAAGTCAATGTCAGAGACTAGAATTTCCATTTTCTATTACTTCTGATAATGTAGTAGAAAAGTGCCTTTATGAAAGCAACAACATAGCATTAAGAATGTGTCCCTGTGTGTTTATTTACCCAGTTCTTGTGCCTTGTGTGTGTATATCTATCTATATAAATGCAAGAATGTTGCAATTAGAAACAAAAACCTGAGAGGTGCAATCTGAATTTATTTTTGATAAAGTACATTTCTACCAGCTTCTTCCTAGAATGGAACCTTGTAACCACGACATTCTTCCTTTAGGACAATGTAAGAGTTGAAAGTTGCATTTCTGGACATGGATTCAGAAGTCACATAATAGACATAGCAAAGGTGTAATCAAAGCTACAGAAAACACTTACATTCATTTACAGTGGAAAAGTCCAAACGCTACTAAATAAGGATGTTCTTTTACTGAATTGTTGTGTGTGTGTGTGTGTGTTTAAATGCAGCTCTACCTTACCTTTAAAATGACCAGGCTGGCATAGATAAAATGAATTAAAAGATTTGAAGTGCACTAACTAAACTTTTTCATCTGTGCAAAACATAAGAGATTTATGGGGCGGGGGGGAGTGGGCAAAAAATGAGGGAGGCTTAATAAGTTAGACAAGAAATAAACTCACTATCTTATGTATGTAACTAACCCCTCTGTACATCACCTTGACAATAAAAATTTTTAAAAATGTATGGAACAAGAGTTGCATGCCAGCCTTTGTAAATAATGTTGAGATGGGGTGTGTGCAATACACACCTGTAATCCCGATACGTGGGAGGCTGAGGCAGGAGAATCATGAGTTCAAGACCAGCCTGGACTCCTTCCTTTTCCTGTAGCCCCCTTCCACCCCCCTTCCGGGCAGCAGGAAGTAACTGGAGGACACACTGCCCTGCACCTGAACGGCCCTGCATTCGTGGGTCCATTAAAGCTCAGTGAAACTCAGCTCTGTGGTGGGAGTGGACGGTGGAGGCCGTGAAGGGGAAATAACCAACCTCCACATCCTGTGAGCTCAGAAATGACTCGCTCCACTCCCATGGGCCACGGACCATTTCCTGACACGCTGTGTGCTCTTACTGTTGTCAAATGCGACAAGAATGAGTTTCTAGAAAAATGCAATGGAAACATATACAAATAGGTAACACCCAAGCCTTTTGATCTTACTCAACAGACATCCGATAGGAGCGTTTTTAAAAGCACCTGCCACGTTTCTGTATTGTGAACCTGTTGTAACAGGTATGCAGACCAGCTCTGCCGTGGCAGTGGGGATGCTAGAATTTGGGGTACTTGAAACCACCATAGGATGGCCCCTGTTGACTGTGACTCCATTTCCCGGGGGACATGGTGTTGGTGTTCCCTTCTTCCACCTCAAGTGGTCATTGCTGATGATAGAGTTTCACCTTCTCCCTCGCTGCCCCTGATCTAGCGTGTTTCCAGATTCCACCCCAGGGCAAAGCCAACCTGGGCCACAAAGACAACTGCGATGCAGGTAGAACTGAGCCCCTCGCCAGCTCCACCGCGAAGGCCTCCCCGCTGGGGCTAGCAGCTCCTCCCCTGCCAGCCACGGCACCCAAGGGTGCCCTGCTCAGCTTTCTCCCTCCTGACATTTCACCTCTTTGCTCTTGGAATTCTTCAATGCTTGCGAATACGTGTGATGATGTGTGATTCCTGCTGCTGTGTGCTATCCCAGAGCGCCTCGCGTGGTCACGGGGTCAAAGCAGTATTTAAAGCAATAGAAACTTAATAGCCGGGGCTCAGCTGACAGCCACCTGCCCCACAACCGCAGGGTGGGCATGTCTGTGGGTGGCCCGTGCCTTTGGAGGGGCATTTGTGGTGAGCCTTTACCGAACATACTCCAACCAACACGTGCAACTGTGACTTCAAGACCTAAAACTAGTTGGGTCCATGTTTATTTAGTTTCTCGTTCCAGAAAGCTCTCTTGGGCCATTTTGCTTCCTCCTGGCATCCAAACACGGGGTAGGAGTTGGAGGTGGTGCATCACACCTGCAGTCCTGGCACTTGCAAAGTGGAGGCAGGGGTATCCTAACTTGGAGGCCAGCTTGGTCTTCATAGCCATGGCCCGTCTCAAACAAGGAAACCAACAAAACCCAGAGGGGAAGACGTTCCTCATGGCTCTCCTGGCCTGAGGAAGCAAACCCAAAGATGTCCTCGGGCAGGGCGTCTCATTCCATAAATGCTGCCTCAAAGCTCCCTGTCCAGGGAGCCCTGTGTTATTTCATGCGGGGGTGGAGGGAGGCTAATTTGCTGCCATTGTGGGTGGCTGCCTTTATTGGAAGACTGTTGAACTCATCCCTATCTTGCTAACCGCACCGTCAGTATATGTGCATGGGATTAATAAATCACACGTTTCATCTTATCTTTCTGCTTCACAGATTTGAACAAGACAGGGCCATCTCTTCAGAGCCTCCAGAAATTCGTTCCTACCGACTATGCCAGCTACACACAGGAGCACTATTGCTTTGCTGGGAGGAAGATCGTTATGCAGGAATGCATCGAGAGCTATGGAGCGGTGGTGTGGCCGGGGGTGAGAACACTTCCCTGGTGGTGGCGTCAGGCTCTGGGGAGATGAAAGCCACAGTCTGTCCAGGGTGTCTTGGGAACTGGTCCTCGGCTTTCACCTTGTGCGCTTGGGCTTCGCAGAGACCTGACATTTCTTCAAAGCATGCTTTAAGCATGCGCCTTTGTTTTTTGTTTTCTTTTTGTGGCAGTGCTCGGATGGAGCCCAGGGCCTCTTGCATGCTAGATAAACCTCTTCCACCGAGCCACACCCGTCATTCTGTTTCTTGAAACATTATTTTATGTTAAATAAACCTGACCATATGGAGAAGCAGGGTGCAATGCTCATGTAACTATTAAGAAAAAGATCAGGAATTAAGAATTTAGGGTCTGGCCAGGCACTGGTGGCTCACGCCTGTCATCCTAGCTATTCAGGAGGCTGAGATCTAAGGATTGCGGTGCAAAGCCAGGCCAGGCAGGAGAGGCCATGAGGCTTATCTCCAATTAACCACCAGAAAACCAGAAGTAGCGCTGTGGCTCAAGTGGTAGAGCGCTTGCCTTGAGCTGAAGAGCTGAGGGAAAGCGCCCAGGCCCAGAGTAAAAGCCCCATGACTGACCAAAAGAAAAAAAAGGATTTAGGGTCTGCAATACCTATGTGTGGGCCACAGTCACACCCTCACCAGCCGTTCATGACGTGGTACGGTCCAGTAGAGGATCTAGGGCTACTATCTGTGGCCTGCTGGCTGGGTGATGACCGCATCCACTGTCTTTGTTTCCATAGGACCTGTGTGGATAGTGGTGGTGTCTAGCTCCTGACTGTACCAACTGAATTACCCTCAAACCCCCATTAGCTGCAGTTATATCTCTCAGCCGAGCTCTGGGGCCTCAGAATGGTTCTTGGTTTGGTAAAGCATTCTCCCGGAGCACTCCGGGGCCAGCACTACCCCTCTCCCCACTGCTCCGGCTCCAGGGCAAACTTCTATTTGTCCTGAGTCACTCTGAGATCTTATTGAGATGCTGTGACCTCATTTCCTGTGTCTGCGGATGAGCACTGTCTGGCCACAGGTCCCGAGCTGGGTTGCCAGGATGGAGGACTGCGGCCTGTCCAGCTGTCTCCATTGGCTCTCCACCTGGACTTGGCGAGTGGTCCAAGTGGGGTGGAGAAGCAGGGCCAACAGCTCCAGGTCTTAGGGTTCTGTCCCCCTAAACAAGAAGCGCTGATAACCGATGACCTGTATGCTTTGTTCAAAACTGTCTATTCCTTAACAAGTTTGAAAATACTAAACAACTTCCCACCTTCCTACTCTCATGCTTTGGCACACAGACAATACCAGCAGTGTATAACAGACATTAGAAATAGGGCGTCTGTGTGCTTGACTTTATTTTTTTCTGTATTTTGTTTTTTTTTTGAGACAGGGTCTTGCATAGGGACCAGTCTTGCATAGGGACCAGTCTTGAACTGCGATCCTCCTTTCTGAGTAGCTGAGGTTATAGGTGTGAATCATTGTGCCTGGCCTCCATTTCACTTTGATTCCCAATAAGGCCTTACAGCCTTTCACATACTCCATTATAATCATTGCAATCATTGTTATAATCGTTGCAAACCCAGTGACCTGCAATGTCTGTAGAAACTCAAAGGTACAGAGAAAAGCTCTTTTATGAATGAATTTATGTTCATACTTGTGTGATTTCTAGGCCAGCCAACTGATGTCACCCCATAGACAGGCAGTCTCACGAGCTATTCAGGACATCTGTGGTTCCCTAAAGACAGAGAAGCACTCTTCTGTTAGAGGGGTTCTTAGACAAATCACTTAAGGGAGACTGCCAAAGGCCACTGTTTAGTTGCCCGATGTAGCACGCTTCTAATGAACCTGAATTTTGATAGGGGACCTGCCATAATAAAACCAGTAGAAGAGATTTGTTACGCATGCGTAACTCCATTTGTAAGAGCTGACAACTAGTAACCTTCTCCCAGGCCCCCCTTTTTCTTGGACATTGGTTAACCAATGCAGAGGACAAATTAGTTTCTGCAGTTCCCTAGGCGCAATTGTACTTTTCATAGAGGTGTGGCATGATGCAAAATGTCTTTCGGTTCTGGTGAACCCTTTGCTACAGTGACAATATTTAACATCTCAGTCTGTAACTCCAGGTGGGAAGGACTTGCTTCTGTAGGTGCCAGCATTCCAATCCCAGGTGAAAACTGTTACCCTGATGATTTTTAGGCTATGGCTCTGTGCCAGTATCTAGAGGAACACACAGAAGAACTGAAGCTCCGAGATGCTAAAATACTTGAAATTGGTGCTGGACCAGGCCTGGTTTCCATTGTGGCCAGTATTTTAGGTTTGTCTATTTTTTTTTTCACTTGTCCCCAAAGACCTGTACTGTGACAGTGACAGCAAATGGGGCCCACACTTCGCTCGGTCTCCCCAGCGTTTCTTGTGGCCAGTCATTCTGTTCTCTGCAGCTATCATAAGCATTGGGTCAAGCCACTCCAATCCACCAGTTTCCACATGGCGAAGCTGTGTACAGAGGTGACTGAATTTCTGCTGGTCCTCACAACTGGGGGGGGGAGGAGGAGGAGTGAAGTTGGGGTCCACTGGACCAGGTGGGTGAAGACTAGGGAGGGAGGTAATCATCCAACATGGCCAGGACAGGACCACCCACAGGGAAGGCTAGAGCCCGAATTGTGTCACGTGTGCCACCATTATGGAGACAGGTACCAGGTTGAGGCCAGATCCATTTTCCTGTTTCTCCCCATGGGAACTGTGTGATCTTTCCTCTCTTAGGAGCTCAAGTCACAGCGACAGATCTGCCTGATGTGCTAGGAAACCTTCAGTACAATCTTTTACGAAACACGCTGGCACACACGGCTCATGTGCCCGAGGTGAGAGAACTGGTGTGGGGAGACGAGCTGGAGCAGAAGTTGCCCAAGTCGGACTTCTACTACGACTACGTGCTGGCCTCCGACGTGGTCTACCACCACTACTTCCTGGACAAGCTGCTGGCCACCATGGTGCACCTCTGCCAGCCGGGCACCGTGCTGCTGTGGGCCAACAAGTTCCGATTCAGCACCGACTATGAATTCTTAGACAAATTCAAGCAAGTCTTTGATACAACTCTCTTGGCTGAACATCCAGAGTCAACAGTCAAACTGTTTCAGGGCATACTAAAATGGGACTAAAGAAAAGAATGTGCCTTGGTAAGCCAGTGTTTTAGAGCTGTTGGAAATTGCATTAGGAAGATCTCTTACCAGCTTCCAAATGTTGCATGGAGATGCCTTGTAGCCCTAGAATAAACTCATAAATGGAACTTAGCTCACTTGCTTCGCTGGCACTCAACCTGCTTAATTTAAACTTCTAGCTGGCTTTTTGCTGGTTATTTTGGAGACAAAGTCTCATGGACTTTGCTGCCTGGGCTGACTTTGAACTGTGATTCTCAGGTGTTTCCTGAGTAGGTGAGCCTACCAGTGCTCCATGTTTGATGTATGCTATTTGACATTGAGTTTGATGGGATTAATGTATCTTGTTAAAACTACACATACAGATTTTAGCTGAAGAAGGGGGTGAATAATTCAAGTCAGAAGACAATTATAGACAACATTGATAAAAGTACAAAGTTTGGAAGCCGCTAGATGCTGGAATGAGGAAGTACATGTTGACTTAGGAACTTTTACCTGTGACAATTTCAAGTTGCTGAATTTTTCTTTTTTGTCTTCAACCATTTTCCAATTAAAATCCCTGAAACACCAGGAAAGACAATTTTGTTTCTCCAGACTGTTATAAAAAAATCAAAATAAAATATCACACTTAAATAAGCTTCTTTGTATTGGGGCAATTTAAAATAAACTAGCATTTCAAGATTATGAAAATTTTTAGCTAGTGTAAGGAAATAAAGCTTGTAAATTTGACAGATTAGTAAAACTTGTACTATTCACAGGCAATATGGTATTAGGCCAGGCTCTGCCACTTTTGTTGCAAGGGTCAGATAGTACTACCTTGGTAAGCTTAGGGAGCTGCAAACTGTTTCTGTAGACTATTCTTGGACTTCGTTTTCTGGCTTTTACAATCATTTCTAGAAAGGCAGGCACCATTTCTGGCCTGTGGAAACATGGTATGGCCTGGATTAGCCAGCAGCTGGAACTCCAGGCTCGGGATTCACTGGGACTCACAGGATGTCCAATGTGTGCCTGTGAGGTAGGTACCTCGATGTTTGCTGGAGGAGTGCGGAGTCTCAACTATCCTGCCCAACTCATCTTTCAGTTGCTTCCTGGTCATGAGAACGAGTATGGGAGATGAGTCCATCTAGAAATCAGTGGTTTGCCAGAATGAATTTCAGTCAAGTCAGTTGGTATAGGATAGTATAGGACAGCCATGCAGGTGAATAGAATATTATAGAACCACACGTGTGGCCAACCAGTAGTGACAGAGGTACTCAGCCCAATCAGGGAAAGAATGATTTTTTTAGGCCAGTGGTCTCAGACTACTTAAAACATACACAACTTTTAAACTTCTCTAATTTAACATACAAACCCAAACTCAGATCATACACCTACACTTACATTAAGAGTTAAAGCTACAAAAAATGATACAACTTCTAGAACAGTATGAAATCTGTGACTGTGGGATTAGATGATGACAGCTGATACCTCAGGTAGCAAATGTTCAACTCAGAAATGAAATTTAAAATTTGCTCTTCAAAAGACATCATGAAGGAAAGACACTACACAGTAGGGTGGGGTTAGATTTGCAAAACATACCCAAAGAAAGGCTTGTATCCAAACTATAGATAAACATCTCCCACTACTCATTAAGAGTACAATTCAATGGATTCAAGTGGGAGAAAGACTTCAAGGAATAGAAATAAATGTGTAAGGTCAGTATTAAGAAAAACTGACTTAAAAAGACTCATGAGATTCTATAACGCAAGTACTTACAACAGTCAAAGAAGATGCAGATGGGGAAAACCTAGTATAGCCCCTTAGGAACAAACAGGGTTCTTACAAGGTTTAAGAAGCAGCATGCTCTGAAATAGCAACTTTGTTCCTAAGTATATACTCCGATGAATCAATAGGTATATTGAATCAATAGGTATATCAACGGGTAACGGGATAAACAAAATGTGGCACATCATATGAATGGAATATCACTTAGAAGCAAAAAGGACTGATAGTCTTTACAGTGTGGACAAAACTCAAGAACATTTTTATGCTTTACTATGGTAATAGCAGATTTTCTTGGTTTCTCATATTCAGACTCCTAAAGTGTCCAGGGTTTCTTTTTTGGGTGGTCTGAAGAACTAAACTCAGGACCTCATGTTTGCAAACGAAGGCACTCTGCCACTTGAGTCACACCTCCAGCCGTCAATCTTGCTTGCTTGTTCCACAAATGAGAAATCCCAATCCAGAGGTGCCGTCTCCCCGGATGCCCCATGGGTGGGTTTCTTACATCTTTGGATGTAGAAAATGAAAGTGGGAACAAGACTCAATTCAATGCTAATTTTTAAGCGAGAGCAAAGGGAACACAGCTGTTTTTGGACAAGTTGCATGGTGGCTGAGTGTTTGGCTTCCAGTGCCTGAGCCAGCATTAGATGCCAGCAGGGCCAGGCTGGGCACCCAGTCACCCAGCCATTGGGCATCTTGTCAGGGGAGGGGGTGACAGAGTGGAGAAAGGAAGAGTTAAGATTTGCCTTGGCTGAAAGGAACAGACTGGGCTCTCCTGAGATAAAGAGCGGCTAATTCAGCAAGCGGGTGCTATTAACAAGGAGCAAGAAGTCCATGATGGAAAAGGCCTACCGGTGACCCTGGGTCCTGCGTCTCACTGTTGAGAGGTACTGAGTGTGCGCACCCCGGCACCTCTACCCGGCTCCTTCAGCTCTTTTCGGCGGGTGGGGTGGGCACTGGCGACATGGAGCAGAACAGTTTTCAAAGCACCCTTCTCACTTCTTGTGTCATGTCACACACTACTTCCATCTACTCTCTAGCTTACACAGGCCCAGCATCCTGCAGCCAGCACAGGTGTGACCCAGCTCAACAGCACAAACACGCAGCTTTGCCAACGGTCTCCAGTGATAGGACTCGTGTCAGTGTGCAGATAAAGCAACGGCCAGTTACCCAGGGTAATGCTTACAAGGAAAGGCAAGACCTGGTTTCCAAAAGTTAACTATTTTGTCAGCATGACCCTGGGAAGACCGTATGCACTGGAGCCTGTCGGCTCCTCTAGGAAGCAAACCCGCATGGACTGGGCGGTGAGGGGCGAGGGACGCCGCCACTGGGAAGAGCAGAGGCCAAACTGTCTATGTACACTAGCGCTTTCTCACAAACATGTTGCTTTCATTAGAGGAACACAAAGCTAGGACTAGAAAAGATTGGCTGACTGGTCTGCTCCATCAAATTCTAAGGAAAAAAGATGGAAAAAACCACGATACACACAGTTGAGTATTAGACGAGTGGCCATACACTTTTTAATACTGTCTGTTTCTATTTATTTCATGAAGGCAGGATAAGAAGCAGGAGTAGTAACCAGAAAGATAAAAAGTAAAACATATACAATAGTTAATCATATAATAGGAGTTGGAAATATATTCAAATAATTGCAAGCCTAAAAGAAACACTATAAATTACCTCATGTCTAATTTGTCTATGAATTTAATATATTATTTTGTTGCAACCCCAAAGTTGATTTATAAAAAATTAAGAACAAATGCAAAAGCTTCAATATTCAGTTTTATTATTTATAAAAAAAATTAAGGTATCAGAGTGCATATGGTGTATTGGGACCATGGTTTTGCACATTTATTCATGTGTTTTACATTATTTCAACGTTAATAAACATACCATGTGCGCATCTTTACAATACCGGATAAAAGTTCAGCTGTCTGGCACTTATACATGTATTACTGATTCATTCTCTGCTGTGCACTTCAGATGAGAAAGTAAAAGACTTGCCTGCCATAATCCCAAGACGAAGCAAATGAACCAAATAGTTATGTTCTGTTGAGCACCACCATTTGTGCCGGTTTTATTTTTCTCCCTTAACAATGCAAATGAGTAGCCAAAAAAAAAAAAATCTGGAAGTGACATTTTAATTTTCAGTCCAATAAATAATTTTAGCTACACTTAATGTAGCTTTTTAAGGCCTTCATACAATTGGGAAAAAAATCAAAGTCGAGCATTTTAAAACCCTGTTCATTTATAAAATAAAAAATAAAAATTTACAGGTTTGCAGTTAAAAGAAAGATAACCGTTGAGAGCCTCTCATGCACATTAAAAAGCTGCAGTCTGCCTCAGTGGGGCCGGCAGCCGGGCCACACCTCCCTCGCCAGCTGCATGAAGTGTCATGAAAACACCATGACATCAGAGGTCTAGACTTACATGTATTAAGCCACAAGCCAGTGAATTCTCTGATAAATACACATCATTTTAATGACCAGCATTGGAGAGTGGATGAAAACATGCAATAGACTAAAAATGCCACAAATTTCTTATATCCATTCACTATAAAACTTTCTTTTAAAATGTGAAGTCTTGTTGGTTTAGAATACGCAGTAGTCAGGAGGATACATGATGGGGAGCCAGTTTTCAGTGAAAGATGCGCAGTGGGTCCAGCCTAGCAACTTCATCAGCTACAAGACAACATAATGTGTTAGGAGAACACAGACCTCCCAGTCCACTATTCAAGGTAAATTCTGTGCCAAATACTTAGTAATAATAAAGTAATAGTATGTAGAACCTTCCTTCTATCAACCCACCCACTATCTTCCCTACTAACCTCACGGCCAAACAACCCCAGGGGAACAGAACAATGCCCATACAGACATCTTGCACTACCGTACATGGTCACTTCCACACTCACAGCTTGGTATGAGACAATTTCTTTTTTTTTTTTTAACTCCATGAGTCTTTTTTTTTGGGGGGGGGTCCAGTAGTGGGGCCTGAACTCTGGGCCTGGGCGCTGTCCCTCAGCTCTTCAGCTCAAGGCTAGCACTCTACCACTTGAGCCACAGCGCCACCTCCGGCTTTTTTCTTTTTGCTATGTGGTGCTAAGGAATCGAACCCAGGGCCTCAGGCATGCAAGGCAAGCACTCTACCACTGAGCCATCTTCCCAGCCCCCCCTTTTTTTTTTGAGTATGAGACAATTTCTGTAAAAATACGTTTTTATAAAAATCAACACAAAAAGCTCAACTATAGGATTTCTCTGAATATGAGATGTGGTATACATGTTAAACATGGTCTATCCTGTTAAGAGTAAAATGAAATATAAATTCTACAAATCCCTGAGGTAAGGCATATATATATATATATATATATATATATATATATATATATATAGTCAGTCATGGGGCCTGAAGTGGGCCTGGGCACTGTTCCCTGAGCTCTTCAGCTCAAGGTAAGTGCTCTACCACTTGAGCCATAGTTTCACTTCTGGCTTTGTCTGCTTATGTGGTGTTGAGGAATCGAACCCAGGGCCTCGTGCACGCGAGGCAAGCACTCTACCACTGAGCCACCTTGTAAGGCATATTTTTAAGGAGATGTTTCTTTCCTAAAGGAAAACTGTCTTAAAAAATATTTTGCCCTTGCTGAAAACATCCGAAGCTAATGTAAGTTCCCTACACAGGAGTGAACAATGTTCTCAAACGCTGCAGAGCTCACAATGGCATCCCATACATTTCTACTAGCTCCCCTCACTTAGAATCAAGTCCTAATGCATTGTGATGAGCCCAGACCCTGTCCTACTCTTCCTGGTGGCACTGAGGAGACTCTCGGCAGAGATGACTTAAACGGCACTTACTTGAATACAATTCTTCCAGTTTTCTTTTGTTGGTTTTTCTTCCACAAGTTTAGTTGCAAACTTAAGGCCTCTCCCATACATTTTATTTACCAATGCATGTTTGTATGCAAATGTCAAAACCTGTAATACAAAACAAGATAAAATTATCTATGAAATATTTACATGGTAAGCCACACAAGCTTTTAATAATGGAAGCAATGAGACTTTAACCAAAGTGTAGCTTCTGAGGCAAATTTTACATTAAACATTTCTAAAAAGAATACTGAGTGTCTTCACAAAGGTTTGGTAGTTCCGCAGAATAAAGAATTTATTTGGGAATAGAAAACTATTCTTAGGAGAAATCACCAGCTATTTAAATCCCATCTAAAATACTACTTCAGGCAAAATAAACCAGAGTTGACATAAATAATGAACAAAAAAGGAAAATTAGAGTAGAAATTCTAAAGTTTAGCCAGTCATGAAAAATCACTACAATGTAAATGAGAATGAAAATTTAAAATCGGAGTACAAAAACATTTGCCTTTTGTCTGCAGCATCTGTCAAACGTGACTGTTATTTGTTTCTATTCTCTAGAATGTGCAGAATGTTCTCCAGTAAGGAATTCTATAGCACTGATTTGTTTTCCAGAGCCAAAGTATTGGCATAGACATAGTGAAAGGTGAGTAATATAACAGCCTCTAAGCTGGCAGCATTACTGCAAAAATGGAATTATCTGTCACAATCTCATTTTGAGATTCGCCAAGACAAGTTTATCAACCATTGTCATACCACTTCTAAAAAATAGGACCAAGTTATGATTCATGTGTTTGCTTCCAGTGGTTAGCAGTGTTTAGTATTCAGGTCTTCGCTGTTAGGAAACTACCACTTTGTTGGGCACTCCCATGAATTAATATTCACTCATCACATCCAAAGTAGGCTGTCCTCATTTAACAGGTAAGTGGAAGCATCAGCGTTCAGTTACTTGCCCCTAGAACTACAGGTAAGAATGGTACAAGCAACTGTCAAACTCAAGTGACCAAATCCATGATACAAATTCTTAATCTCTGTGCAGTATTGACTCCTCCAGAGCCCTGAAAACAGCTAAGTATCTTTATTTTTGTCAGTCCTGCGGCTTGAACTCTTAGCCTGGGCGCTGTCCCTCAGCTCTTCAGCTCAAGCAAGCGCTCTACCACTTGATCTACAGTGCCACTTCCGGTTTTCTGGTGGTTTATTGGAGGTAAGAGTCTCATGGACTTTCCTGCCTGGGCTGGCTTGGAACCACGATCCTCTGATCTCAGCCTCCTGAGTAGCTAGGATTACAGGCATGAGCCACTGGAGCCCAGCTGACTATCTACTTATAAGATGAGGAAACCTGATGTATACAGAAAGAATGGTTCCTATTCTAAGGGCTCTTTGCTGCAAGTTACCATAGCTACTTGAGAACTAGGGTCTCATTACTCCAACAATGGTCTGTGCTGAGTGAGGAGAATGTGATTCATTTTGTTTTCCTTCACCTCCACAGGAAGACTGATTTAAAAAACTGTGGCTGAAGCCAGGCGCTGGTTGGCTCATGCCTTTAACCTTAGCTACTCAGGAGGCTGAGATCTGAGGATCGCAGCAGTTCAAAGCCAGCCCAGGCAGGAAAGTCCATGAAACTCTTAACTCCAATAAACCACCAGAAAACAGAAGTGGCGCTGTGGGCTCAAGTGGTAGAGTGTTAACCTTGAGCTGAAGAGCTGAGGGACAGTGCCTGGCCCAGAGTTCAAGCCCCATGACCACCACCACCAAAACAACAACAACAAACTGTGGCTGTATAATCTTTAATGTGAGAATCATAGCAGAGCTAAAGGGGTTAAATTTTTTTTTTCCACTTCTACTTTTTTCCCCTACTAATGGTCTCCTTGAGCTTGTGTGGTCTGTTTGCTTTGGTGGAGCGCCACAACTTGACCCATGCCCTCAAGCCCAGCTTTCTGATGATTAGACATGGAGTCTCATGGACTTTTCTGCCCATGGTGTCTTCAAATTGCAATCCTTTGGGTCTTAACCTCCTTTGTAGGTAGCTAGGAGTATAGACATGAGCAAGTGATTTAAAATATCTTTGATAAAACATCTTCAATGGCCAAATTCTAAACCAAGTTCATTGATGTGCCATTGCAAAACTGGGTTTTAAAACTGGTTGGCTAAGCTGGGTGCTGTTGGCTCACGCCTCTAACTTATTAGCTACTCAGGAGGCTGACATCTGAGGACTATATTTCACAGCCAGCCTGGGTTAACTGGAGGCTCTTAGCTCCAATTAGCCACCAGAAAACTGGAAGTGGTAGAGTGCTTGCCTTGAGTAGAAAAGCTCAAGACAGCTCCCAGACCCTAAGTTTAAGCTCCAAGACTGACAAAGAAAAACAACAAACAAACAAACCCAGTTGTCTAAAATTTGAGATTATTAGAAATCAGAGTCCTAAGGAGAGTAAATAACATCTGAACCAACCAGGATCAGCTCTTCTTCCCTTGACAAACAATTATAGAAGATCTGGTTTGACCAATAAGCTACTACATATGTTCTGAAAATGCTTCCAAAGTTATTGTTAATTAAGCAGACCTTAGCTGACATAAAATAATGGTGACCATTGTAAGCAGGAGTACAGGGTTGACAAGGTGTCCTTTCTTCCTTGGCAAGCAGACAAAAAGGAGTCTGTGAGAGGATAAGAATTGTGTCCCAACAAGCAGAAGGTTACCTTGTTGTCAAAAAGATCTGTCCATTTTGTAGTTTCCCAAAATGTCTCTGACAGAGAATCCAAAGTGCTCTCGCCATCCTCCTCCTTTGCCTCCGCATCCCCAGCCCCTGCCCCGTCGTGAACCTGAGCGTGGAGCACGTGGTCTGCCAGGGCACACCCTTTCCGGCACAGGGCATCTACCAGGGTGGACTTCTGCTTGTCCATATCACTGCATGTCAAATCAAACACAGTTCACACATCAGTAACATTTATCCTAAAAGACTGTCAGATCTGAAATTAAATGAATGCAGGTTTTTTTTTGTGGCCTAACCTATAATGCAAATATTTGGTATACCCATGTACATCAAACAAGACTCCTTATTAATAAAAAAATGAACCACTATACTGAACACACAGGTTAAAAGTTAGCAATAATTGAAACAAAATGCCATAAGCAACAAGGTTGAAACATTGATTCTAATTTCTGTCAGCTATGAAACCCTTAACCAGAGCAGTTACTTTTTAAATCTATGGATTTCTTACAAATACCAGGTGTGTGTACAAATGGACAGAGGCTCTTCTAGTCATGAACATGATTTTATATATAACCAGGGTAACAAACAACATGCTTTCTCTAAATGTGCCAGTAACTATCTTAGCATTTTAGCATTTTAATTCATTTACACTCAAAACAATCCTATAAGTAAGAAATTAAGAACTACCTGCATTTTGCAAAGAAAATTGGAGGTTACAGATTTGGCCACAGTCCTCCCATTAGAAACTCTAAATTTAGCAAGCAGTTCAGAAATCTGTGCTTCCAGTACCTTTCCAGGCAAAGAATGCCTCCATGCATTCCAAGTGCCCAGGACCCTGCCTGGTACAGACAGTCACAGCTTCACTCCACAAGAAGGTATCAGTCTAACAGATGTTTACTTGAGACTTTCTGTCCACTCATGTCTGCTGCCTGAGGCCAGAAGGGCTGGATGATGATAGGGCGGGAGTGAGTCTCAAGGATCGGGAGCTAAGTGTGCATCTTGTGCCCTGCGGGGGCTGGCAATGACAGCCCAGTGACTGGGGGGCTGGGCTTCTCCATGAGCTTACCCACAGGAAACCCAAGTAGGGGAAAATCTGTGGCTAATACACTGCCTGAGACCAGGAACATTCTCACAGGTTCCAAGACCCTTTGATTCTATGATTTCATCTAAGAGCCCATTCCCAGCTTTAACAAATTTGCAAGAGAGATGAAACCACTCTTGTCAAGTCACTGAAAGTTCACGCATGATACTTTCGAAGTGCTCTTTGCCCTCTGTGTGCTGTCTATTCCACTGCTAACATTCACAAATCAGAATTTTCATAAACAAGTGTCCAGCTGACCTTACCGACTCCAAAGGGCTGCTTGGTGTAGATGCTCCCCGGTCACTTGGCTGGGGAAGGGTCCTTCACGGAGGACCAGCCTCCCCTCCCCCATCGCCCGGGCCCAGGCACTGCCTTCTGGCTGCCAGCCTGGGCCAGGAAGCCATGATATTGGTGGTATTTTTCTCCTATCCTCCAGCTCTTGCTCATTTTTTTCTCTCTTGGGAAGACTCATCTGCCCAGAAGCCAGGCAGGCAGGCATCTCACACATCTGGCTGGACCAACAGAGGAAGGGATGTTCTTTCTTCCTAAGTACCAGAGGCCATGTCACTCACTTGGCCATTTAACCACATCCTAGCCTTACATTAATCTGCTGCCTCCTCAGATCTTACTGAAACATAATCTTCAGGCCTGGTTTTACAGGGATCAAGAATCTTACAACCAAAATTCCTCATCCCAGCCTTAGCCTTGGAGGACCAACTTGTTTTGCTTTCTCTTCTACCTCACCAATAAATACCTAACGGTAGAGAAAGCAATGTACTTTCCTGGGCTGAATCTTAAAAGAATTTAAGAAAATTAGTATAAACTTTCTAAGATGAAGTAACCAACTATTGATAATCCCGATTTGGAAGATTCTAAAAAGAACACAATAACAACAGTAAAAGACAGTCCCTCATTTTTACACAAGTAACTAAGAAATGAGATGCAAGGAAGATTATTTACTGGTTAGGTACTTTTTTATAATAGCTGCATCAGGCCTGGGGTCAGTCTTCATTGCAATATAAACCGCTAAGGCTGTTTGGTCTATATGAGAAATAACAGCATTTGCAGCTTCAACAATTTCAGTCAGTCTTTTCATTCGTTCCTGGGAAGGAAAAAAGGAAACAAAAAAGGAAAAGAAATGAAGATACTACAGTATTTCACATCTGTGGTTAGCTGCAGAATGAGGCCGGTCGCCCCCTCCACACTATCTCCCCATGCAAGCACTGCACGTGCTAGCATTTTTAGAAACTTGAGCTCAAATGATGAAAACATCCAACTGACATCCCTGCTTAACTCCTTGTGAAGACTCCAGAAATGTGATTGGCTGCAGTATTCCATTCCACAAGAAGACACCAATAAACAACAGCTCTAACCCCCCACCCAATCCAGCTCAGCTGATGAAACAAATGCTCTACCATTCAAGAAAAAGAAAAGATAAAACACACAAGATTACGATCAAGAGTCTAACTAATTAGATCATGGTGTCCTCAACAGCTAGTTCCTGCAAGTATTTTAAGAATCCCCCTTCAACAGGCAAAACCCTGTACATGACCTTAAGTGACTACAGTTGGCACTTTCCTAATATAAACATTATAAACAAAGATTTATGAAAGAAGTAAACACATCTAACCTTTTCAGCATCCAACTGATGAAGCCGTGCGACGTACAGAGGAAGGTAAGAAGGGTATGTTTCTTTCAGTTCATTATAAATGTCACTAGAATCCAGCCTGAGCATGTAAGAGAGAAATATTCACTATTTTCTTTTTTTTTTTGGGGGGGGTCCGGTCGTGGGGCCTGAACTCTGGGCCTGGGCACTGTCCCTGAGCCCTTCAGCTCAAGGCTAGCACTCTACCACTTGAGCCACAGTGCCACTTCCGGCTTTTTTCGTTTTGCTTATGTGGTGCTGAGGAATCAAACCCAGGGCCTCAGGCATGCAAGACAAGCGCTCTACCACTGAGCCACCTTCCCAGCCCTCACTATTTTCTTTTAAAAAGGAGTTTTCCAACAGAAACTGTTTATCCATGTTTAGAAGCTCCAGTCAATAAAATAAGGCAATGATTTCAGAATGTAAATATATTCACTGATGAACATTGGCACTCCTGGCATGCATACCCAGAACACCAAGAAAACCAAATCAAACTATTTCAATTACAAATCCTAGAAAACAGGCATGTATGCAGCTTAACAACTATTACTAGATATACTAAAAATGAGATTACATTTCTATTAAAAAGGAGGAAAATACATAATATCTATATGAGGAAAATTCTAAAGTGCTGAATGAAGAGACTATCCTGTTCCTCAGTAGGGAAGCTGAAGAAAACCATGTCCATTCTTCTGCACTGTACACATTAGGGTAAAAACAATTAAAATGAATATCCAAACAGTAAATAACTACAAAGAAAGGGCACTGATGGCAAATTCACTTAAAATAACCAAATTGGCAGAAACATGATGAAAAACAGTTACAGAAACAAGAAAACTGAATCCACGCAACTATGCACACTAGTTTATACTACATTCAAGCTAGGAACCAGTAGCTCATGACTGTAATCTTAGCTACTCAGGAGGCAGAGATCTGAAGATCTCTGTTCAAAGCCAACTGGAGGCAGGTAAGCCTGTGAGAATCTTATCTCCAACTAATCACCAAAAAACCAGAAGTGGAGCTGTGGCTCAAGTGGTAGAGCACTAGCCTTGTCCAAAATCTGAGGGACAGTGTTCAAAAGCCCAGGACTGGCACAAAAGACAAAGAATAATTGAAACTGTTTTTCTTTTTCCCCTTTCAATAATTATAAAAAAACAAACCCAGCCCTTTTATATTTAAATTTACTGCAGCTTAATTATGGAGAATGCTATTTTGGCATGTGAATATACTACATTTTGGTTATTACTCTTTAGCTGATGAACATTTGGTCTCTACCTTGTTGGCCATTGTATGAATAATGCTGTGGGCAAGCATTCACATATGAGTTTGTTTAAATGCATTTTCTTCTGCACATACTGGGAATGCAATTTCTAGAGAAAATGGCTTTCGAAAGAAATTGCAACATTTGATATTCCCACCAGCAGTGCCTGCGATTTCTGCTTTCTCCAAACACTTGCCAGAACTGGCTATCACTTCACTTTGGGTATAAAGCAGTATTTCCCTGTGGTTTTAGACAGTGGTCATGAGGATCAAGGACGTTGACCACCTTTCAATATGTTTACAAGCGGACTGTAGCCTCCTTTAACAGATGTCTACTTAGATTCTTTGCCCATTTAAAAAAACTGAGCCATTACCTTGCAATTACAGAGTTATAACATTTTTTTTAAACTGTAGTTTTGAACTCCTACATTGGTAGATAGTTTTAGTAGTTCTACTGCTGAGCTATACCTCTAGTCCTCATCTGATTATTTTTTTCAAATTATTTTTTATTGAGATTAGGTGATTACATACATTTTACATACTTCACAGTATTGTGGAATAGTGATACAAAGTCACAAACACATTTTAACCTTCACAGAGCAATCTGTCATTATCATGGTCTATAGTTTGTGAATTCTATGAGATTTCTGTCTGATTATTTTGAGATCATGTCATGCTTCTAGTTTGGGTGTATGCCTGAATTACAATCTATCTTTTAGGCTCCTCTTCCACTGAAATGGAGTCTTTCAGACTTTTCTGCTTGCTGGCCTTCCATGGTGAGACTACCAATCTCTGCCTCCCAAGTAACTAGGATTACAGGAATGATGCCATACTGTGAAGCACAGAAGTTCTTTAATTTTGAGAAGTCCAAGTTACTTTTCATTGTACTCATACTTTTAATTTCAAACTAAGAATGCATCCAAAATCATAAACCAGTATGTACTACTATGATACAATTTTGCTGTTAAAATTAGCCCTTCGATACATTTTGAGTTAATCTGTGTAGACTATATAAGGCAGGTTCTAACTTCCATTCTTTTTCTATGGCCAGGTGGTTTCAGCCCAACCCTTTACTAAAGACTTTTTCCTCATTGGATGGTCTTGGCCTTGACACCCTTGTCAAAAGTCAGTTGACCATAGACAAGTTTTCTTTGTAGACTTCATCTATATTCATTGCCCTTTGCAATACAATATTGTCTTGTTTACTGTTCTTAGTAATTTTGAGATCAGGATTTTGAGTCCAACTTTGTTCTTTTCGAGATGGTTTGGCTACTTTGGACCTATGTCATTCCATATGAATTGTAAAACCAATGTTAATATTTATATGGAAGTCTGAAAGGACTCTGATGGGAAAGTGCTATAATACAATTAAGCCCATGAAAATAGGGTATTTTTTCCATTACTTGGCCCTCTTTTAATTTCTTTCAATAATGTTTTGTAGTTGAGTGTGTCACATATTTGGATTTAAATTTATTCCTACATATTTTCTTTGGGATCTTATTTTTGTGGAGTTATTTTTTTAATTTCATTTTTTTGTTGATCTAGTTGTATTGATTTGATATTTTCCCTTTTATTGTTTTAACATCTTTTTGTTTTATCAGTTCCTCTCATATGGCTAAAGCAGTAGTCTTGCACAGGAAGAGGAAGGTCCTGATGTACATTCCACCTGCTTCACAAGACAGGACAGAAGCCAGCAGCATGGCCATTTATCATTACCATGTAATATGCAAGACATGATATGCTCAGACCTCAATAAGTAGACTATGATGTATCATTCAGGTACATATGCAAAAAATTCAGGAAAAAAATGTTTGCAGTGTCAGGAAGCTTTTTTTCTTTTGCATAATTCTGCAATAAAAGTCTCATCAGAAGCAAATTAGAATTGGATAAAAATAAAATTGTAAATTATTTTCTTATAATCAGAAAAGGGAATAAGAATAATTCAAAACACCTGTGATCTTACCATCTACTATTAATAACTTTGAATATAGTCTATGCGTATGTGCACAATATTACCATAGTTGAGAAAATGATACTAAGGATTCAGAAGGTTAAAATGCACTCAGAAACCTACTTTGTCATCCACTGAATTTTAAGATCTCGTAATGCTTCAGTAAACTCTTCTTTCAAATCTTTCTCTTTTTCTGAGTCTTTGTCTTTGTCTTTGCTGCCATTCTTAGTCTTCGTTGGTGGAGGTATTAGGTAGTAATGAACAGGGATTACATCCTACAGAATGTGAGAAGAAATACTTAAATTTACTTTAAAATTATCTTCAACAGCTGAACATCATGTAATAGGGACTGAGTCTCATATGTTACATTGCATTCCAGATTCAGAGTTCATGAAATAAAACCAACCAGTAAATAAAAGTCACTGTAGTTTTCTCCTAACGTACTGAAGCTTTCTAAATAGCTCCTTTAAATAAAGGAGATGAGAACAAATTTGACTGTAAATACACTGCACTTGAGTGAATTTAGTATTCTTAAGTTTTACTGGGCAGACACACAATTTCATTGAATCTACTTTTAAATCTGAGCAGGAGTGAGAGAAGATAAACTAAAAACTAAACGAGCAAGCATCCTGGTTTTAGGTAAACTTGAGGGGTAGTTTATTCCTTTGTGGAGTTGATAAGAGTTGCTGTGCTCCCCACAGGCAGGAGAACAGGGCAGACAAGGCCTCTCCACCCTCACAAACACTATTCTAACTGGAGAAGTGAGACAAACGTACATGTTCGTTACATGGTTAGTTACATATATGACATGAAGAAAATAAAACATAAGAAAAGGATAGAGAATGACTCTGAGGTAAAGTACAGGAACCAATGCAAAGTGGTTACAGAAAGGTAAAGGAACTTAGATAGTAATGTTTATAAATAAACTTGAATTATCTAACTCAACAGAGGAAGGAGCCTATCTGATACAGAGTGGGTGTCTGCTATTGAAGATGAAGAAGTGAAAAATCCCAAACTTGGAACACGAATACTAGCCATAGTAAAGAGGGTTTGATGGAAGTATGGGAAAAATATACAAAATACGGTGCAATATTTGGAAATGAAGTCACACTAAGACTTGTTAGATTTGTTTTGTCACAATGACTGGCTGTCTTTAAAACATAATATTAAGTCAGTTTCCTCAAATTCCATGTTTAGGTTTGTATTTAAAAATCTTATATTCCTTTTAATTAACAAAGTTTCTAAACTGGAACAAATTACTTTACCAAAAAGACAGTCACTGCCTTCAACAGTGTGCCAGAATAACGTCTCACTGAAGTTCAGTCCAGGGTAGCACTGCCACACCTGACTCCCCCACATGCAATTTTCAGGTATGAATCAATATATCCACGTAATCAACATCCTCAAAATAAATTTTGGGTTTTCAAATGACATAGTAGTAAATAAGAGAGATAAGGTTTCACCACAAACATGTATTATCTCTTCATGATCATTAAAACATAAAAATTCACTTTGCTATGCACTATCCATCCAAACCCATACACAGCCCATGGCATACTGCCCCTCCCCCGCAGGCCCGGAGCCTGAGCCTGCCACCAGAAGCTTCCATGAGACGCACTGCTGGTGCAACAGCTTAACTGCTTGGGCTTATTCTTTCAGGACTTTGCCATCTGTCCTTTCCCCTTTCCTTGAAGATCACTCTCCTGGGGGCACTGCCGTGAGCAAAATCAAAGGTGCCTAAACACAAGGCTCTAACTTACAACCAATTCTTTCTACAACAGACTGCTTCACTGTCATGTGTTAAGCACAGGCAACTACCTAGAAAGTATAGGTCTAAGTGGCCTCCGTTATTTACTTCCTAGGAATACAGTGCTGTTCCCTTTGGAATCGGACCGTCCATTACCTAGCATGTTAGAATGTGAATGACACTTGCCTGGCAGTCTCCATTCATTCTAACGGCAATGTGCCTTTCCTTAGTTTCCCAGGCTAGGAAGTCTATGTGCTGAGGCAATTCTCTCCTGACTGTCAAAGGTAAGGCATTGGCTATTATTGTTTTAATACAGAGACAGAAAATAGAATTGATTTTACAACTAACAAAGACCTACAGAAACAGGAAGATAATAAAGATGGGGTGAATCTTATCAAAGTACATTCCATACATGTATAAAGATGTTTCAATACAATCTCTGAACAATTAATTTATATTAATGAAAATTCTGAAAAATAGAGATCCTATCATGGCAAGCTTAAACTATCAATAATACAGAAGAGAAGATTATGATGAATTATCTTAGAAAAAATTCAAGTTTTTATAATTAAAACAACTGCAAATGTTATTATAATCTTATAGAGTATTTCAGGAAAAGGATTTATTATTATTAAAAATTTAAATCTTTATTATTAAAAATTTTAAGTCTTGATCAAAAGAAAAATGAAACTGAGGACATGGCTCAACTGGTAAAATGTTTGCCCATAGCATGAGGCCATGAGTTCAATCCCCAGTAGTGTAAAAAAAAAATGGAGTAGTGGCTTTCACTTGCAATATCATAACTTTATGCTCTTTCTTCAACAGGTATTTTTTCTGCTCACTTTGCAGGGTCAGTTTCATGAAATCATCTATATCTTAAAGCTGGAAAAATCCTGATTGCGGTTTAGAAAGAAAGTTTAAGAGATAATATTTAGTGTAGAAAAGCTATAAAAAGTTGTTTATAGTAGATACTTAGCAGTAAGTTGAAAACTTACTAGCTACTCACAAAGTATTTTGAAAGTGTTCAAACTGAACCATATTATTTAAAAAGTTAAACTCACCCACTCAACCAGTAAAAACTCTTTGGAAAGCACAATGCATCATCATTTGCATTCTGGCTCAAAAACTACAATTTTCTTAGTTTTTGTTATTAGTAACTGTAAATTCAAAAATTTAAATTTTATACAAACTAAACTACATCAACAATACCATATTTGAGTGCTACTTATCTGTCAAAAGTAACTTTTTTCAATTATATTTATATATATATTTGCATATTTTTTGTAACTTGCCCACCCTGTTTATTCTTTAACAGCTTTTGTGTACTTGCCCAAAAGGTAGGAAGGAATGGGCAGAGGCAATTCTAGCCACCAGACAGTAAAGGTTAACTATAGTTGCTGAGTTCTTTATATAAAGCTTTACTAACCATAAATTACAATAACCTTCCTTCATTCACCCCTTTCCTAACTCACACAACATAATCCAAACAAAACCCAGCAAAACTACAGGAAGAAATTTTTTAATGAGTTCCTAGAATATTGTTACCCTTTTCTCCCAACTGATGACTTTCAAACTACTTTCACACTAGAGAAAAGATGCTAATACATGGATACTAATATAAGATACAGTTTTCTGAATGCTGACTGTCCCATTCAATGAGTTTTCATGGCTGCATTGGGTCAAAACCTCCAGTTGAGAAATACTCATCGTTAGTCCTTTATCTGGGAAGATGATTCCTAGTGGTATATTTTGTTTGCGGAAAGTACTTATCAATACGCAGTAAGGTAGACATTTTGCTTGTTATAAAATACATTTTACTTATTATAAAATGGCATTCCCAGTGGATTATCACTATAAATCAAGAAACAGTAGGCTGGGTGCCTGCGGCTCACATCGGTAATCCTAGCTATTCAGGAAGCTGATCTGAGGGAGGACTGTGGTTTGAAGCCAGCTTGAGAAGACCCGACCCCATGAGACCCAATTAACCATTGTGGCTCAAAGTGGCAGAGTGCCAGTCTTGAGCAAAATCAGGGACAGTGCCCAGGTCCTGAGTTCAAGCCTCATGACTGACAAAAAACAAACAACAATAAAAACCACGTGTTTATATTACTTACTGAAACATTTTTTGAAGAAATCACTGAAATGCTAAATGTCAGCAGGTCCTCACCAGAAAGCCATTGAGTCTCCTGAAATATGTGTCCCTTCCTCTACGATAAACTTAAAGTATCAATTTTCTGTTTTGAGTTAAATTTGGCTGGCGGTCAATAAAGATTGTATAAAAAAGCTGCAAGGAATTCAGGCAGCCCGCCACAGTTCTAAACTCTGTGCTCTTGGGCAGCAGGTTTTAATCACTGTGCTTGCTATCTCTCTAATGCTCTCTCTCTCTCTCTCGTCTCTGCCTTTCCAGAACTTGTACATATAAAAGAGCAGGGATTAAGCTTTCCTTCAAAAGGATAAAATATTTTATTAATAATCTAATTTAAAAATATTTTCAGATTTTTAACTGCTTTTGCCTCTGTGACTAAGTTATCACATAGTTCTCTTTACAGGACTATAGACAGATATTAAAAGTTTTGAAATTTATTACTTAATATTGTATCTGGAGCAAGAAATGAGTGTATTAAATTTTTTCTATATAACACGGGAAAAACAGGGGTCTTCCAACAATTTATGGTTGAAAAAACTTTGAGAAAATCTAGTAGGTATAGCTAATAGCACTATACTATAGAACATAAAGAAAGGAAACTAAGGGAAAGTTTGGGGTTTTTTTTCTTTTAAAGATTTATAATAGTGACAGAAAAAGTTTATTATGTAAATAAGGCTTTAAGACATGGTTCTTAAAAACTGACAATCAGTACCTTTTTAAATTTTCCTTGTCGTTTTGCTGCAGACTGGCCCTGGGAGTTAGAACGACATTCTGTAAGAAAACATGCACAATCTACACAGGATGGAGACACCACCTCTGTCTAACTTTCCTCCAATCTACAGAATGGTCAGGTCTGTGATTAATATGGCATGTTTTTATATAAAGCAACATTGCCACATTTATTTAAAACAAAAATGTATTCAAATATTTAGCGACCAAACTCCATTAATTATGAAAACATTTTAAAAGCATTAAATTAAGCTGACAGTCTGCAGAGTCTGACTTTACAGAATTTTACAACCATCACAGGAGCCCTATGCATAAGAAACAGGGTTATTGTAAAAGTCCAAGAGAAGTAAAATTAATATTACTATCAAAAATGTAAGTAGTATAAAACTACTGAGGACAGACTAAACCATACAATGGAAACTGTTAATTCAAGTGCTTAACATTATTGCTCTCTTCTTAAAATGTCTATCTTTCTAACTACAGTCAATCCCACACACATAAGTACTTTAATGTAACAACTGTCTCTCAAACAATGCAGCCAGGAAGCACTTTTTCTGCACTACTAAAAGCATTTTAGCAGTTTCTGCTAAAACTTTTCAAAGGAGTGAATTCTTAAGTCATCTGAGTGAAAATTCACAACTGAAGCCTCATAGCTATACTTTCTATGAAATAAATCTAAAAAAAAAAGACCACCAGGATTTCTAAAATCATATATGTGTCCAGTATTAACTATTTATTTACTTCAAATTACACTAAAACATGAAAGTTTAAACTGAAATGAGATCTAAGAAACATCAATGGAAACAATTTTCCTAAGAGAAAATCCCCAAATTATGCTTCAATTAGTTAACAGATGATTGGTACAGTGTAAATTGTAATTTTCAGGATGTATGAGCTCAACTCATTTTGCTAATAGCACTTATAGATTCCAGCATTATGAAGTAGATTCACTTAACTTTTTATGATGCTAAAGAGAAACTATAAGAATGACAATGGTACTGAGCTGGGATACTATAACAAAAAGCGACAGTTATGTAAAGACTGTTCTCATAATGAATTTACAATGAAAACACAGATGGAAAAAAGTTATACCAATAAAGTTGCAACATTTACTTCTATAAATTTAAAATTAGAAAAATGTTTCTGATAAAAAAAACAATTTCAAAATTTTTAAAGGCAACGTCAAAAGAAATATCTCATATTTACTTATATAATTATGCGAGATTCCAGTAAGAGGAAAGTATGTACAAATGTGAAAAATGTTCATTAGTAACAGTTGTTCTGATTGGGTTTTAGAAACAACTCAAGAGAATCTGATTTTTTTCCCCCTAACTATACTACTACTTTGGTCAAAATTCTATCATCTGCTCTAATTTTAAATATCTCACTTACTTAAGCCAAGTATGATCTGGATCTACTTATTTCTTAAGAAGCTCAAGCACATCAGCCACTGAGGTATATGGGTTCAGGGCATAAACATGTAGGCTTGTAAAAACAACTAATATTTTAAAACCACAACACATTTTAAAAGGCAGCCCAAGTATAAATTTACCTCACCAGTAACTCAAGGGAAAACCAAACCAATTACAATTGTCTCCCTACACCTAGGAATAGCTTCATCTGGCCATTCTGAAACATTTTTAAACAAACAGAAATTTTGGAATGAGTACTTTCTGTGTAAAATACGTAATACTTACAGCTTTCTTGCCAAGTTCAGTCTTTGATAATGTTAAGGATCCTGCAAGGTAGCATCCAGGTCCCGCCCCTTTAGGTACTCTAATAAGAGAATTAAAGAAGAAAAAAAAGCAACAAGAGAAAGTTTCACAAAGATAATTAAGGGAAAACATCACAATTGCAAACTGAAATATTCCCCACAGCTAAGATTTCAAAATCAAATGGAGAAATAACTTCAAATGATTAATGACAGCATACTGTAAATCTGGTCTAATTAATTCACAATAAAAAAGACAGTATGTAAAATAGGTATTCTATATCAGTAATGTCATCACTTACTTATCATCAGGTAAGGAAGTAACAAAGAATGGCTGGTTATATTTAGGTGGCAATGTCAAATTGTTTGCTTTCTTCTTTCCTAGAAGTGCAAGGCTATGATTTTCATGAATATCTAAGCTCAAGGTATTAGACAACCTATGAGAAACAATAAATGGAAGATCTTTAAGACGCTCCAAATCACTGATTTGCTCATGACGAATCTGTAGTCGAATTGTATAATCTCCTTTCTCCAATTTCAAAGAATACTAAAAAAGAAAGACAACATTTGGGAAATGTAAGTTTAGCCAAGTGCACTGGAAGGGGAAAAAGGGGAACAATTCCATTTGCAGAGTGCAGACAGGGTGTGAGGGACAGGGCGTCACTCCTCAGACACGTTTCTACATACTAGGTGCCTAGTGTCCTGGAGGGCAGCCAGATCAGGGACACCAAGTGCTGTGCCCAAGGACACAGAGAGTAAAGTACGAGGGAGTTGAGGTCAGGTCTGAATCCACTAAAGCCCTCTTTTTTGCCCACAACAAAATATTCTCATGTATTCACTATGTAGTCAGTGTCTGCTGCTCCAACTAACAATGACTTTTTGTTCTAGGCTCTCAGAAGGACTGTATAATATCCACAACAAAAACACATTATATGTTGATCCATGTTGTTCTCTGGTAATCGTTACCTTATAATCAAAAGATCACCCCTTTAATGCAAACAGGAAAAACAAAACTAATAAAGATCAATGAGTAAAAGCTACTTTGCTGGGCTGGGAAGGTGGCTCAGTGATAAAGCGCTTGCCTTGCATGCATGAGGCCCTGGGTTCGATTCCTCAGCACCACATAAGCAAAAAGAAAAAAGCCGGAAGTGGTGCTGTGGCTCAAGTGGTAGAGCGCTAGCCTTGAGCTGAAGAGCTGAGGGATAGCGCCCAGGCCCAGAGTTCAGGCCCCACGACCGGACCCCCCCCCCAAAAAAAAAAGCTACTTTGCTTTTCTATGCTTATGAAGTCAGATGCTGCATTCTGTATTAGTTTTTTTCTGAGAAGGTTTAAAAAGTATCAAAATAATGACACTATAGTAATGCACTACACTGATAAAACTGCTGCTTGCCTTGAGGAAAAAGGTATTATCATTCCTTGAAGGACTAACTGAAAAAAACTCCATGAATTAATGCTAGGCTCATTTTTTCACATAAAATTTCAATCATGGGTTAAATCTCCCTAAGTTATATAATTAAAAGACCTTTTCCCCTTCAATCTAACAGCCCAAAGGAGGTGTTCAATACAGTGTTCAACAATCAGCACTTACTACATGCTTTATCCCACTCGGCCCTGAGATGGAGTCAAGGTGCTAATATATGTCAGAGGATTTCCCACTACCTGCAGACAGGTAGAACAACAACGAACATCCATGCTGAGCTCGTAGTGCTGCTCAAAAGTAGAGTACATGCTTAAGATGTTCAAGGCCTTGGGTTTAATCCTCAGCACATAAGTGTGTGTGTGTGTGTGTGTATGCACATACATACAGTCAAAGCTATGCTTGTTGGTGTCTTGGAAGCACTGTTCTGTCTTCCACTACATGATGAAATCTTATCAGTCTGCTACTCAATAACTACAACAAGAGAGCTTCTTATAGCTTGTAAAAGTACTAAATGAAACATTATAATCTTTTGAAAATATGAATATTTTATCAGAATAAGAGATCAAGAATTAATCAGTTCATGAAATAGGTTTCCGTTAATTCAAAAATTTCACTGCAAATTTTATACCTGATGTGGATAGGCATCGCCTGAACCCATTTGCCTTTTGTTCTGGTCAAAAATAATCCATAGTTGGCTGTCAAATTCTGATTCATATAACAATTCACAAAGAAGTGGGCAACTTGGAGTTACTTCTCCACTCTTGGGCTATAAAACAGTAAAATTGATTATTGATGTGTTTGTGTATGATTTCTAATATAGATTAACCTGATGATAGGCATAAGGTTTTTTGTTATAAAGCATTCAAAATATTGTCTTGTAAAATGTTTTTAAATGAAGAACATCAATTTTGGCACTAATTAAATGCACTTTATCTTTTAGAAACTTTTAAAGATACAAGCCAAGCTATATATAATAGCTTTATATTAACAAAGCAATGTATGTTATTGAATAACTACTTTATAAAACTGAAATGTAACAAGTTCACTGAAATCTCTTATCTCCTTAACATTAAAAGCAAATCCATATTGTACTTCAATTGTTTTATTGAATGCTCACTGATCCTTAAAAAAAAAAAACTCTTTGGTTCCAATATTTGGGTACCTTAATTTCAATTACTTTAATTGCTCATTCTACAAGGAGCAAGAGTAATCAGGCTTAGGATCATAATCAGAAGGGATGTAGCATCTCTGAGTCATCTCATCACTCCTGCTCAGGTGGCAATGGTGGATGTGTACCACTGATTATAGAATTGGAGGCTCAAAGGCCAGCTCACCACTAAACCACATGGATGTCACATCTGAATGATATTTAATTAGCAATCATAGTTACATAAGAATAATTCTAATTAATGAGGATTAATAACTTGATTTTATTTCATAGATATATTATGTCCTTCTACTTTTGATTATTCATAAAACACAACATTCACTGTATGGTCATATTTTATTAGGCAAATACTTACCTGATGAAAGTTATAAGTCAGGACCATCTCATAAAGTTGACGATTATTTGGCAAGACATCTCTTGTTCCTAAAGGTTTTGTTTTTGCACTTACTGGGCTATAAGAAGGCAATTGCATAGTTGATTTGATTCAACAATCCGTTTAATGAGACTTAAAATTCTAAGCAACAAGATCTGTAACATACTACAAAAAGTGACATATCAACATTTCTGAAAACCTTTTAAGTATACTTAGTATTTTAATCACCAGCAAGTAATTTTCCTTCCTTGCATCATTGTAATATTGTCTAAAATTTTGCAAAAGGACAAAAAACTTGCAAAGATAAGCTTCATGATCCAAACACTGTAAACAGCTCTTACAATAACCAGAACCTAATACTAGGGTGGTAGTCACCAAAAACATAGAAGATACATTTTGATTTGTATTCTCCATTCCCAACATGTCTTAATACAGACATGAGTCAGGTCACAACTAGCACTGTTGCTGTTCTCCAAATGCTAGGCTGATGCCCAGTTGTACTGACTCAGCACTTAACCTTTTCAGTGTTTTCTAAAGCAAATTATTAAACTACAGATTTTTTTTTTTGGGTGGGTCATGGGCCTTGAACTCTGGGCCTGAGCGCTGTCCCTCAGCTCTTCAGCCCAAGGCCAGCACTCTACCACTTGAGCTACAATGCCACTTCTGGTTTTCTGGTAGTTTATTGGAGATAAGAGTTTCACGGACTTTCCTGCCCGGGCTGGCTTTGAACCTCGATCCTCAGATCTCAACCTCCTGAGTAACTAGAATTACAGGCGTGACCTACCGGTGCCTGGCAAACTACAGATTTTTAAAAAGGAGAACTCAAACTGGGAGAATGAATGTGAAAACACAAGGCAGGTGCCCTGTGTTCATAACAGGAACTGCTAGGCACTAACAGTATACTACTTGAGTTTCTCCTATTAAGAAAGACTAGGCACTACTGCAATTTCTGAAAATATCTGGCAAAAGATTCACAAAATAAAATCAGAGAAGCTAAACTTGTTATTACATGTCAAGGAATGAAAAGGCAGCCGGGCGCTGAGGCTCACGCCTATAATCCTAGCTCAGGAGGCTGAAACCTGAGGATCACAGTTCAAAGCCAGCCTAGGCAGGAAAGTCTGTGAGACTCTTATCTCCAATTAAGTCACCAAAAAAGCCAGAAAGTGGCTCTGTGGCCCAAAGTAGTAGAGTACTAGCCTCAAGTGAAAAAGCTCAGAGACAGTGCCCAGGCCCTGAGTTCAAGCCCCTTAAAGACAGACAGACAGAGAGAACAGAAGAGAGAAAGAGAAAGAGAAAGGAAGGCAGGCAGGCAGGCGAAAGGGAGGGAGGGAGGAAGACAGAAAGAGAGGGAGGGAGGGAGGAAGGAGAAGAAATAGAGGGAGGGAGGAAGGGAAGGAGGGAGGGAGAGAGGGAGGGAAGGAAGAAAGGAAGGAAGGAAGGAGAAAGGGAGGGAGGAAGGAAGGAGAAGAAAGGAAGGGAGGGAGGGAGGAAGAAAGGGAGGGAGGGAAGAAGGGAGGGAAGGGAGGAAGGGAGGGAAGGGAAGAAGGAAGGAAGGAAGGAGGAGAGGGAGGGAGGAAGGGGAGAGGGAGGGAGGGAGGGGAGAGGGAGGGAGGGAGTGAAAGGGAAGGAAAAAAGAAAGGAAAGGAGAAAAGAAAAGAAAGAAAAAGAAAAGAAACAAACTAAAAGGCTACTGACAATTGATTCTAAATAGCCATTTTGGGGACGGCTATTTTCTGCCCTGAACTTTGTCAGGCAGGTGAAGAGCAAGGCCAGAGACAGGGCCAGGCTGCCTCTCAAGAGACCTGCAAGGATTCAATCACTCTCATTAACACACAGTATCTGTAGCTTTTAAAACAAAGAACAATACCGTAGTGTCTGGACCCAGCTCTTCAAAGTTATGCAGGGAGCCAGATCTTCATATTTCAAGGAGGACTGAACATCAAAACGATTGATTCCTTCTGATGCATGCTACAAAGGATATTTAACAAGTTAATTCCTCACACTTCAAAAGAAATAGAATCTAAAATGAACGTTATTTAATATAGTTTGCCCCATATTTTAAAATTATATCCATGTGTTGCACAAGTGGTTTTAATTCTGACATGTCCATATATGCATACCATGTACCTTGATCAGACTCACCCTACACTTCCTAACCTAGTAAGTTTCACAGATATACATAAAGTGCTTCAACTATACTTGCTCTCCTTCGCCTTCTGTTTGCCTCTCCTGCTTCCTCTCCCACGAATACTCTCCCCTCAAACAGGACCTGTTTTACATGTCTGTCATTCTTGTTTTAAAGTGCATCTAAACTGTTCAAAGGTGTGTCACTCAAGTGTACACAATACTTTAATCAGACAAAGGTCTTCCCAGTCATACTTTCCTTGTCATTCTCATGATTAACAGCTTTCAGTGAGTTTTGTTTTGTCATCTTCATTCATAGATACTATGTATTTCCAGGGTCTCTATTAAAGGTAAAACCTCAACAATGCAATTCTTTTTTCACAGTACATAAATGGCAGCAAAAAGGACAATATTGTACAACTTACAATGTTTAACTGAGGAGCAGTACACACTATGCCATGGAAAGAAATGGTATAGTCAATATTGACATCACTGAGACTTGCCCACCAACGAGCTATGCAAAACTCAATGGCTTTCCCACCCTGCAGATAAAAATAAAAATATATTATATAAAGTATAATTTGTGTTATACATATTATGATATGTGCATCACTTTTTAGGTTTTTTCCTCAAACTAAAAAAAGTGCAATTCTTTTTATTTGTTAAGAAAACTCTGAGCTTTTATCATTTGTACAAAGAATTAGATAAATCAAATTTGTTTAAGTGGGTGCAGGCAATTTAATTAGTTACTACAAATCTTACTTCACTAGAAAATGTGTGAAGCAGCTTTTGAAAGCAAACAACATTAGAACAAAACAAAATCAAGAGAAAAGATATCACTATATAATGCCTATTCATTAGTTTGTGAGCTTCCTGGCAACTGAAGTGGAATGAAATTACAGTCCCTTACATCTTTCTTTTTGTTAAAAAGTAAAATTAAACCAGGTAACACCAGGCTCACACCTGTAATCCTAGTATTCAGGAGGCTAAGATCTGAGGATCATGGTTTGAAGCTAACCCAGGCAGGAAAATCTGTGAGGTTCTTATCTCTACCACAAAAAGCCAGAAGTGCTAGCCTTGAGTACAAAAACTCAAGGAGAGTGCACAGGCCCAAAGTTCAAGACCCTAGACTGGCAAAAAAGTAATAATTAAATAGAAATGAAAACGACTTAGGTTTTCTAGGAATTTTTGCATCAGAAAGTTTAAAAGAGATGAAATTAGGTAATACAGATACAAAATACAAGTAAAGGGAGCATAGAGACCTGGGAAGGCTCTATAACCCGCAAGAGAAGCAAAGTAGCAAGGACAGACAGCACCTCAGAGCACCCACCCCTCCATTTACGGAGGGGGGCTGGGTTGCTTGTTGGGAGGCAATGTACTTCACCTCAGATTCTCCACAGAGCCTTAGTAAAACGATTTAAGTGCTCTGTCATGAAGTTTTACTGAAGAATAAGTCTACCACATAAAGAAACGAGGAAGCCTAAATTGAGATCCAAATTATGAAGCGCCATAAACTGTCAGATTAGCATTATTCACTGACTGAATTATTTGAGATAATAATAAAAATAATAGTGATAAGGGTACACATGCACAAGGGCCTCAGCTCCAATCCAACCCCAGCACTCAACAGAAGCAGAATCCATTCAGATTTCATTGTTAAGTACTCTAATTATAGACTACTTGTCTTTCTACTTCATTTATTTGTCTTAGTGCATGTCAAAAAGGCAAAGAAAATACTTTGGATTTCAATCTGTGAATTAAACTTACTAAGACAGGAAAAGCTTCAGTCAGTGTTCCTTTTTCTGGAAGGGAACAGAACTTGTAGAATTCATGGCTTCGATAGGCTCTTTGCTTCACAAGCTGTACTGCATGAAGAACAAACTTGGCCGATACCTCAGAAGAACAGGAACACACGGTAACTTCTAAAACAAGGCAAAGTTTTAAACTGGTAAGATTTAAAATGCTCAGAAACTGGTGCTATAAATGTCCACTTCTTTGGTTATGTCAAGAATAAAATGGTGCATTCAAATGAAACCGCAGATTTCTTTAAAAACAAAGCAACAGAATATTAGTAAAGCTAGAAGAGTAGAAGATATTCTACAGGAAATAAATGTATTTAAATAAACCACCACCCATTAAAAACTGCCCATTGATGCATACACAAGTATCTAAATAATGTTCCTTTTAAAATCCCTCATTTCCTTTCGTTTTCCCTGAAAATTGGGGGTGGAGGGGGCGGGGAGGGAGGGAACCCAGGATGGTAAGTTTTGGAAACATCTATTTATCTTTTTTTCTTTATTTAAATAGGATTTTAAATTTTTTTTATTTTATTGTAAAGATGCTGTACAGAGGTGATCCAGTTACATGAGTAGGTTAATGAATATAGATAAACAGGATTTTTTTATTTTTATAAATAGGATTTTAATGTTTAGAGAAGTTATACCTTTGAGTACCCCTCCTAAGGGTATCCTCCTTTAGTCTGATTGTGTGTGTGTGTGTGGTGTATGCCTAGAGTCCTGTATAGGTAATCATGTCCAGTTATATTTTAGGTATCTATTTATCTTGCCTAAATTGCACTGTGTCTGTTCAACTTGTCCTAGCTTTTTCTCTCCTCTTGGTCAATGTCCAGGAAAGAATGACCGCCAGAAGCACAGCTTGTAGCTTCTTGGTGAGGCACAGTGGGAGATAAGTCAAGATCATGCTGAGGCAAGTTTATCTAAAAAGTATCCTTAGAAAGGCACACTGCTCCTAAAATCTAAACCACTGTCAAGGACACAAAATCCAATGTTTCTAATTTGAAAGATGAGCCATCTGTAATACTTTCTAATCTGACCCTGAATAAACCTCACAACTTGGGAGACAGAGAGAGAGGAGGATCGTGGCTTGAGACCATCCTGGGTGTGGAAGCACAGGCTTGTGGCCCCCAACTATCAAAGCTGGAACAAACAAAAAATTTAAGGTAAAAGGACTAGAATATGGCTCAAGTGATAAAACACTTGCCTAGCAAATGTGAGGCCCTAAGTTAATCCCTAGTACAGTATAGGTGTTTAAAAAAACCCTTCTAATCCTAAAGTCACATTTAAGACATTTTTTCAGTAATGGTTACCTGTCTACCCTATAGGATTGTGACAAAGTAAAAGGCCTAACAGGGGCTGTGACCCCCACAAGCATTCAGTCATATGGGTTATGAATTTACATTCACTTCATATGTCTGTGAGACAGACAATCACTGAGAGACAGAATGCATATAAAAATAAGTGGTCCAGACAGTAATCTTTCTTACCAGCCCACGTTGCACCCTCAGGAACCTCAACAAAATGCCTTCGAATCTGACCAGGTTTAAAATGCACATCTGTGAAGGCCACATCATAATGTGATGACTCGCTCACTCTGAAAATTAACCAAAGTCAGTTATAAAAGGTGATTTTCTTATAAAACAGCTCTATGTACTAATAGGATGAGTCCACTGATACTCTCGAACTTATCCAGTACTAGAAGAGTTCATTAGAAATAAACATTGGAACTTGTTACAGGCTGATTACAAACAGTAAGTACAATATTAGACCTTTTTGCTTTGTCAGTCGTAGGGCCTGAACTCTGGGCCTGCGCGCTGTCCCTCAGCTCTTCAGCTCAAGGCTAGCTAGCGCTCTACCACTTGAGCCACAGCGCCACTTCCAACTTTTTCTGCTTATGTGGTGCTAAGGGATCGAACCCAGGGCCTCAGGCATGCAAGGCAAGCACTCTACCACTGAGCCACCTTCCCAGCCCGAGACCATTTTTATGAAATATTAGCAGATATACAGACTACAGATAATATTTTCTATTTATTATTTTTTAATTTATAAAGCACATTATTCAAAGCTCACATTCTCTCTTTTCTGCTGAAGGAACTTTTTAACACAGAATTTTCTAATTTTAACTATAATGATTCCTAGGTATTAAAAATTAGGGCAGTGTTTTATCACTAATACTGTTTTATACCTATGAATAAAACTGGTACCAATGCCTCTTTCAACCTTCAGAATGGTTTCATGCTACGAAACAGTAAGACAAAATACTTTTAGAAGAAATTAAAGAAACTATGGGAATATCCAAGTATATGCTAGAGTCAGTGTAACAAATATTTAGTGTCTACAAAACAAGAATCAATGTTTCAAAGATAGAAATGTCTTTTATCCTTTGTCCTAGACAAACTAATGGGGAGAGAAAAACCATCAGAAATATTTAACACAATGTCTCGGGACAGAAAGTTGTGGGAAGAAAGTGTTAGGGAAACAGATACAGAATGCTTAGTTCACTCACAGATAGGTGGGAAAGCTTACTGTGATAATGTTATTAGCTGATTACTGAAGATGTTATATACCGACTTAATATTTTCTTTGTGCAGGCCATTTAAAAAATGTAATAGCCTTAATTTCTTCCTATGTATCTTGTGGGAAGAGATGTGTCACAAACTTATTTAACAGAAACTGTTAACTAACAAGCAGGAGACATGGAAGAGTATAAATATTAAATTGAAGAAACCCTGTCATGTGTTAGAAAGGGATGGGGAAGGAGAAAGGTGAGGAGGTCCAACAGCCATTAACCACCAAAGATACCAGTAAGCTGTGAAAGTTCTCACTTACTTTTCTGCTATAACTGCAGTGATCGGAACTCTGAACAGAGGACCTGCGTTAGGGGATGCTATGTCATAGCCACAGACCTTAAAAAAGAATGGTGAGTCTCAATAGCCATAAACAAACTTATAAAATAGGAGACAATTATATGTATTGTATATATCTATATAGTCACCGAATCAATTCATCTAATCTTAAAACTTAAGCTGAAGCTGGTATCAGTTTCCTGACATAATTAACAGTAAAAAGCCCAAACAAATCCAGGTATCACAATCTTTGGAGTAAAATGAGACTTCACGTAAAAAAGAGTTGCATTTTAATTTCTCGCAACAGAAGACTAGTTCAAACTAGTCTTATAGACAACTTTTAAGATAGAAATATATATTTACATAACAACTAGCATATGTCTGTGAGACAGACAATCACTGAGAGACAGAATGCGTATAAAAATAAGTTTAACAAATGTTTTCATCTGAGTATTAAAGGTAATTTCAGCCCAGTTCAATTGAACTAAATAACTGACAAATTAGAGACTTCTGTGAAAAAGCTTTGCAGTTCTGCTTCTTTCCCTGGCTTTCTTCAGAGGAGGATATCTACACATAAGACTTTCTTAAAGTATCCAGCTGTTTAAATGGATGCAGAACCAGAAGAGCTGTAAAACTGGGCGAGTAAAAAGGTCTACTTCTTAATCAGAATGCAACACACTGCAAACACACTTGCAACCGTTTACTTTGCACTCTTAACATTTTAAAGAGGAAAGAAATGAAAAATGAAGCTGTGGCCATACCTCTGTATAATGTAATCCTTCTCTTAAGCCCCTGGGATCCACACGGATGTTTATGTGTCTACACTGATTCATGAGTTCCAAATGGCTTGGACACTGAACCCAGGATGAATTTGAAGTTAAAGCTAAATGAAGCTGAAGGGATATTTTTTCAGAGTTTTCTGGTATTAAAAAGACCAAAAATTAAAATTAAAATTTTTCCCCTTTCCTTCTATGTTATGACTACTTAGCAATTTAGTCTGGTCAGTTGTACAGTGTGCACTAGTGCCACCGAAAAACACAGCTTGCTTAAAAGTCAGACTCTTCCTTATATTTTAGTATACTTATTAGACCTGTTCACACTTTCATCAAACACTGCTATGTGTTAAAAGAATATCAATGGATATTTTATAGCACCACATGCAGAGGTTAACATCTGTTGAAATTCTGTCAAATATGCAGCGATAACTACTTTGATTTGTATCTAACTGAACTACAGCAGTCCTTGCCTGCTTCTACTACTCACTCTCATCTCAAAGCTGCTATAGTCATGGGGTAAAATGCAGAAGGAAAAGGAATTTGAAATATGCAGCGATAACTACTTTGATTTGTATCTAACTGAACTGTAGCAGTCCTTGCCTGCTTCTACTTCTCACTCGCATCTCAAAGCTGCTATATTCATGAGGCAAAATGAGGAGGGAAAAGGAATTTGAAATTTCATTACCAGGTTAACAGCACTGTGGGCCACTGAACGTCTAGTCGGTCTAATGTTTTCCTTGGTTGCTGAGATGTTATCTGAATTGCCACAGTACTGGGACCCAATAGCCCTAATATTTTCCCTTAAGCCTATAGTTTTGGAACACATTGCCAACTGATATTTCCTCTTCGGAACATTTGCCCAACAGTATTCCTCTATTATGTACTACTCTTGGGAATTTTACTTATTGCCTGACCATCACTTACCTGTGTTCTCTGGAAATGCAGGCTCAATGCCAACACCATGATCTGAAGGTGCAGCCACTTGCACAGGGTCTCGGAGGTAGATGCCACGGTTATTTCCAACAGTCACAGTAAAACCTAATCTATTTGCAAATGATGTATTCTGAACGAGGTAGTCATAGGCTTTATCAACCTAAAAGAATATAAATGATAAGATATAAATGTTTGGGTCAAGAAAATATTTTATTGCAAATTACAGACCCATTTGATTTCAGCTGTAGCAAGCAAGAAGTGTATTTCTATATTCACCTCTCCAAAGAAATCCCAATTAAATCAACAATGGCATATTTTAAGGCAAAATGCCAATCTAATTACACCCAACAAACCTACTCCACTCTTCATTCACATTTACTTCTCTTCTTTGGATTTCCAACCTCTACTTGTCCTCCATGTTTCTCTTAGTTACTAAATTCCTCTCAGCTACAAACTTGGTGTTTTACAACTAGCTTTTCACGTAGACAATAATACCTGAATAATACCATGTCCTTGGGCAAATACTTCAATATTGTCAGCCTTTACTGCAGTGTTTTCTAGAGCTCTTCTGACTGAATGAACTGTATATTCAACATTATTAGCTTTCAGACCTAAAATAAAAAACAAGAAAATTAGTGTTAGTAAGCTCACTACTTCATCACTATGATGACATGTACCATTTCTGGTTTTCATGTCATATTTCAACACTGATTTTTAAAATGTACTTTCTTAAAAGCAGTCCAAATAGTCATATTCAAACTGCCTGCATCAAAGGCTTCATTCAAATACATCATTCCATATCACCAGTAATGCATAGGCATTACTGCAGGCCCATGAATGGTGACAAGCATGAACACAAAGTGGGCAGCTAAATGCATCCAAGTAATGTTCTCTTTAAAGTACTGTTGATCAAACACATTGTCAGCAGGCCATGGTTTGCAACGTAGGTTCATGTTATAAGCACCAGGGAACTCAGGCAAAAAGTAGAAGTCTCACGACATATCAACTAAAAATCATGAAGGGTAAACCAAAGGAGGAGGCTGCAATGCTTGGTAAGAAATGTACGCATTATCCTGCCCATGTAATTGTAACCCCTCTGTACAGTATGTTCACAAATAAAATAAAATTAAATAAAAAAATAAAAATCAGAATCTTTAAGGACTAGACACCAGCATGTGTTTTTAATAAAAGTGTTCCATGTGATTCTAACATATGGCTGGGTTCAGAAGTCTAGGAGCCCAACAACTGGTCAGGCTTGACTGACAGTTGCAGCGATAAAGTATAAATAGTGCATCATTTTTGTCCTTTCCAGAGCATCAAACACGAAAACATTTATGAAACTGTAATAAGCAAACAATACAAACACGGAAACATCATGATGCTGTAAGAGCAAATTGAGGACATGATCAATTTTGTCCATGAGAATCCAAGAGATGAAGGCCCATTGGATGAACTGGCAGACAAGCTAGGTCTTATAGAATACTTGGGAGTTTGCCCAAAGAGAAAAGTAAGAGACACTGACATATTTGATGAGCTTGAGAAGGACCAGAAAGGCGGGTGAAGACATCAGGATCCACCCTGATCCATCCTGAGAGTTCTGATTCAATCTAGCAAGTGACCTAACATTGATGACTTTAAAACAAGGAGTTTAATGTAATTCCCATCTCCTTGCTATCCTTTTAGCACCAAGGGTGGATGAATCATGAGAAGTAGCAGTCAACTATAGTGGTCAGAGAAAGAATGAATGAGAAAGGTAGCAAGAGCTAAGAGCCAAATAACCCCTGAGAAGACCTCACAGGTGACCCTGACAACACCCAACTACAAATCTCATCTCTCTTTCTTCACTTTGCTCCACAGCATTTATCATCTTTTTTTTTTTTTTTGGGGGGGGGGTCCGGTTGTGGGGCCTGAACTCTGGGCCTGCGCACTGTCCCTCAGCTCTTCAGCTCAAGGCTAGCACTCTACCACTTGAGCCACAGTGCCACCTCCGGCTTTTTTCTTTTTGCTTATGTGGTGCTGAGGAATCGAACCCAGGGCCTCAGGCATGCAAGGCAAGCACTCTACCACTGAGCCATCTTCCCAGCTCCGCATTTATCATCTTATAAACATGTATTATTAACATTTAAAAATGTTGATTCAAGTTTGTTTACCCTAATTATAATATAACTTCACAGGCCATTAAAATACTGCTTAACAATTATTAACAATATATATATAGGCAATAACTTCATATGCTGCATAAATGAAATCATATTCAAGTATCATTATCACATAAACCATTTTCTACCTTAAACTTTACTCCGTCCCCAGGACGGTATCAGTTCTCCTTCATGCTCTAACCCCAAGATACACAGGAAACAGTCTGCAATAAGGGAAGAGAGAAATAAGCAATGTCCTCACCTGAAAGTATCAGGGCAATGCCTCCACATGCATTGGGGGAAGACATAGATGTCCCATTCATTAGCTGAGTCCCCCGCAATGTCCAGTTAGGAACAGAAGCAATAGCTCCTCCTGGTGCACTGATGCTCACACCAAGGGCCCCATCAGCACTAAACACAAAGTCATGAAAGTTTGAGTTGGTCAGTGAAAGACAGATATACACGAGCATTCTGAAAAAAGCCACCATTACAATCAACATTATGGGCTAATTGTAGTCACTACAAATAATGACAAAGATACTACTGTGGGGTATCACTGGTGGGGTAAGAGGAAGAACTACCCAGCACAGCTATTTCCCATCACAGTGCATTTATTTGTCCATTCTGGGTAGATTTTTTTCCATACATGTGTTGATGACTTACCCCTGCAATCCAAGCAACATGGAAGGCTAAGAACAGGAGGTTGGTCAATAGTTCAAGGCAAACCTAGGCAGAAATTTTCACTAGGTCTTTCTCAATGAGAAGTTTAAGAGATTTTTTTTTTTTGGCTCAGGTATGTCCCCAGAGAGGAAGTGACATCCTATCCTAAAAGTACCCAATGAGAAACAGTGCTGGAGGCACAGTTCATTTGTATTGCCCCAGACTAGGCAAGCAAGAAGTTCAACCTTTAGTCCCATCAGACAAAACAAAACAAGACAAAATCTGTACATGTGGTGTACTAGGTTTATGTGTATGTGCAAGGCCAGAGAAATCAAGGTATATTTCAAGAGAATAAACTGAGAAGCCTACTTTTAGGCTTTCCATCTGAGAGATCACCTCCAGCTTCCTTAATGGAGACAGAATCTCAGTCTTTTTTGCCAAACTTGCCTGGTACCTGGCCTTTCTCAGCCTTCTCTGTAGCTTGGAGTGAAAGGTGGGTGCCAATGCACCCAGCTATGGGCTAAGAAGGCTCTTATGAACTTGTCTGCCCAGGCTTGCTTTCTTGATAAATATACTTTGTCTTCTTGATAAATATACTTTTCTCTTACCTAAATGAAAGAATTTTTCACTTTGTTTGAAGTCTTAATTTAGCACTATACAACAGAAGTATAATATGGACCTTATATACAATTACAATTCTGAAAGCCACATTTTGAAACGCAAGCTAATAAGTAGCTGGTTAATTTTAATAATATATTTCATTTAACAAGACCTTCAAAATATTTTAACACATAACTGACAAAAATCATTGAGACTGACCTCTTAAGATTTGTGGCTGCCATGCTGGACAGCTTAAATCTAATAGGACCTCCAGTTGAGGAATTTGGCTGAGCAACATTTAGAGTTCAAGCTCTTGGAGTCCATGACTACATGGTATTCAACACAAGCTCTTTCCTCCATCCCAAGGAAAGTAGTAACCACAATGACATGCTACTGCCCTAGAGGCTCCTGGAATTTTCCTTTATGATTCCCCCCTAAACATCTAGTATTTGTATTCCTGACTAGGAACATTTGAGAAATCAGTTTTACATTTTTTTCAGAGAACTGAAAGCAATGTATGCATCTTGTATTTGAAAGAAGCTAGTCACCCCTTTCAGTGAATATCTTAAATAGGTTAAATATCAGCTAACAGGCTGTTCATACCATAGTCCTGAGTGGCAAAAGAGCACAAACAGTACAGTCTGCAATGAATGTCATTCTCAAAGGAAAATGAATGTTTATTGAAGTGTCACCCACGCATACAAATCCCAGATGAGACTTAGGGCAACTTTTACTTTGTTCACTTCCGGGGGAAGGGAGGAAAGGCAGTACTTAGTACTTAGGTTTGAATTCAGGGCTTCGTGGTTGCTAGACTGCTACTCTAGCCCTCACAGTCAAGCCATCAAACCTGCTTTCTTGCTGGTTATTTTGGAGGTAGAATCTAGTAAACTGCTCTGCTTCTCTTGCCTCAGGCCAGAATTCTCCAGATCTTGGCCTCCTGGGAGATGGGATTACAGGTATGAAGCAGCAGCACCTGGCTGATTTTTACTTTCTTGTTTTTTTTTTTTTTGGTCTGGTCGTGGAGCCTGAACTCTGGGCCTGCGCACTGTCCCTCAGCTCTTCAGCTCAAGGCTAGCGCTCTACAACTTGAGCCACAGCGCCACTTCCGGCTTTTTTCTTTTTGCTTATGTGGTGCTGAGGAATCGAACCCAGGGCCTCGAGCATGCAAGGCAAGCACTCTACCACTGAGCCACCTTCCCAGCCCTACTTTCTTGTTTGTTCATTCCACATTATCTACCAATGCTTACAATGAATCCTGATATATAACTGGGAAAAGTAATTACAAAGACTCATGAACTTAAACTGACTACAATTGCTCTTAATCCTCAACTATCCAGCAACATAGCTAATCATAAATTATTTCTCTAACGATTAAATCAATATTCTAAAAATTATTTTATTTTTTGGTCCAGTCATGGGGCCTGAACTCTGGGCCTGGGCGCTGTCCCTCAGCTCTTCAGCTCAAGGCTAGCGCTCTACCACTTGAGCCACAACGCCACTCCCGGCTTTTTTCTTTTTGCTTATGGGGTGCTGAGGAATCGAACCCAGGGCTAATGCATGCAAGGCAAGTGCTCTACCACTGAGCCACCTTCCCAGCCCCCTCTAAAAATTATTTTAATGAAATGTTCCATTAAAAAAATTTTTTTGGTCAGTTGTGGGGCTTGAACTCCGGGCCTCGGCACTTCAGCTCAAGGTGAGCGCTCTACCACTAGGGCCACAACGCCACTTCCGGTTTTTCTGGTGGTTAATTGGAGATAAGAGTCTCATGGACTTTCCTGCCTGGGGTGGATTTGAACCACACTCTCAGATCTCAGCCTCCTGAGTAGCTAGAATTACAGGTGTAAACCACCGGTACCTGGCTCATTAAAATAAAAAAAAAAAGTTTGTGATACCTTTGCTGTAAATTACCACGCATAATACAATCTCAACCTCCATGTATACTCCGTTGGTAACATAAAAACAGATACTGAATACCTAAGTTCAACACTGATAGAGGAGCACTAGCTACCAAAGAGTACTATCAAATATTTAGGGTCCAATAATTATTAGTCCATGTTTTGTATTTCATATCCTAATAAACTAAATCTATGCAGTAATATTACAACTTGGGTTTTTGTTAATAAATTTTAAAAAATTGTTGGTTATAGGGCTTGAACTCAGGGCCTTGGTACTGTCTCTGAGCTCTTTTGCTTGGAGCTAGTGCTCAACTCCCAGTTTTTGAGTGGTTAACTGGAGATAAGAGTCTTGAAGAGTCTCTTGTTCCCAGCTGGCTTCAAACTTTGATCCTCAGATCTCAACCTCCTGAGTAGCTAGGATTACAGTTGTGAGCCACCAGCACCTGGCATGTAATGACTAAAACATGAAATTTCATTTTAAAATCAATTTATGAGTAACACATTTAATAATTTAACATATAATTTAACACATAAAACTAATGCTGACCTTCAGTTCTTATCACTAAAACACCAAGGTGTAGGTAAAAAACAAAGCTTTCTGGTTACAGAAGACACACAGCCTGACGGGTTACAGTGACAAACATTAGTTTGCCAACAAACTACACACATCAGTTTGTAGAAAACTAGTTTAGTTTGCTTCTTAAATTACCTAGGAAAGACTAGGAGGACACCCATAACTCAAGAGAATTTAACATTATCATATTTGATGTGATTCCAATCAATCTTCTAATCTTATCTTTCAATACCCTACTATCTATAGTTCAAATATACCCAAGTACAAGCTTTTTCCTCCCTAAATCACTAAATTAGTTTAGCATCATGTTTTACGTTAAAATCTTAACACATAGACAGTTAAAATCTTAACATATAGACATACTTTCTCTGTCAACCTCTGTCAACCCTACAAGGCTGATTCCAATACTGTCTCCTCCATGAAAGGCTCAAATGACTGTTCCACTCTATGGGTCCCAGCACCCTATGCTGGCATTCTCAACTCAGATCACGAACTGTTTATGCCTTGGCCACTTCAGACAGTAACATACTTGCTGCACTAAATTCAAAGTCTATTCTGCTTCTAAATTAATATTGAAGAGGTAAAGTGATTTGTTTTACACTGGGCTCCCATACTCACTGATGTCATAATAAAAGTTAGGACTTAATATACCTCTCGGGAAAGACGATTAGTTCCTGGAATCAACAGGTAACAGAGAACTAAAACAGATTTTAGTTTTAAGTCAGAACTTGCTTAATATTGGGTTTCACCCAAAATGTTCAAAGTAGTTCTAAGTTCAAAAGCAAAAACATTCATAGGCAGCTTTGGCAATGTCATAAGCCTCAAAAGCTTATAGTTTAACTAAATATATGCAATGATCCTATCACCAACCTTGGACCTCTTGAAGACCATGTATATTGATTTGCAGGTAATTTCTCCCGTAGTGAGTACTCCGCCACCATCATATCAGGGGAAACATAAGCACCAACACCTGTGGGATGGGTTTTATTAACAAAACAAAGCAAAATGTACCCAGTATACCCTAATTTTCCCAAGGAAATTCATTCACTATTTATGTGGAGTTTTTTGGGTTTTTTTGGTCGGTCATGGGGCTTGAACTCAGGGGTTGGGGCGCTGTCCCTCAGCTCTTCAGCTCAAGGTAAGTGCTCTACCACTTGAGCCACAGCCCCACTTCCAGTTTTCTGGTGGCTTTTATTGAAGAGTCTCACGGCTTTTCCTACCTGGGCAGGAAAAGTATCTAGGAGTATCTAGGAGTATCCTGAGTATCTAGGACTAGAGGCATGAGCCACCAGTGCCTGGCTTACTTATGTGAGTAAATCCACTCTTGCAACGGAGCTAAAAACCGACAAGGAAACAATGGAGATCTACATTATATCAAGTGCACTGCTTCTGATTATAAAAATAACTTCCAGGATATTATGTAGATTAAATAATGCACATGTATGCTTCTATGAAAGCACTTATTCTGATCTTCTTTAAATTGTAGTAAATTCTGGATAAGCTAGCTTCTGAAGGCCTACAGTGTTAGGTATGGGAGAGACAATCAGCATATGATTAACAGGGTTCAATGCTTTGCTTTCCAGGACAGCCTCTATCTTGCAATCCCCGCTGCCTAAGCCTACTATTTGCCCTTTCTGTGTGTGTGTGTGGGGGGGGGGGTGTAATAAAACCTTCTATCTCTCAAAATAGGAACTTACCTATAACACTTGATGTGGTTCCACCTGGACAGCCCACTGTGGACAGGCAAGGACCATTGTTTCCAGCACTAGAAACATAGATGATATTGTGCTTCCATACTGCTTCATTGATTACTTCACAGATCCTCCTGAAAAAGAACAGCCTCTTTGAACAAACAGAACTGTCTCATTTATAAAATTTATATCAAAATCAAATTACAATGATTGTTGGTGGCACATGCCTATAATTCTAGCTACTCAGAGGGGGCTGAAATCTGAGGATTTCAGTTCAGAGCCAGCCTGGGCAGGAAAGTTTGTGAGACTCTTATTTCCAGTGAATGTCTAAGAAGTTGAAAGTGAACTGTGCCTCCAGTGGTTTTGTTAGCCTTGAGCAAAAAGTCAAAGGACAGCACTCAGGCTCTGTGTTCAAGCCACAGATCAGCATCAATTCAAAAAAATAATTATAGTGTGGGTTCTAACTTATAGGACCAAAACAGCAGCAATAAATAGGAGAGTATGCTTTGGAAACAGTAGGCTTTCTAAAACTATACCTACTCTGCCTCTATTCTTAAAGCATGTGTATTATGTGTCTGTTTTATATAATACATATACATTTAGGTACACACATACACACACAGAACAAAAATCGTCATTAAATATGATTCTGTAAGGGCTGGCAGGTTTGCTTGCAATGAAACATACAGCCTGCTGAAATGTCATGCCGTAGTTGGGTTTTAGTATGGAAGAGTAGTTATAAGTCTAGAATAACTGTGGGGAAAATGCTGGATGCAAAAGGGTGTTTTGGAAGATATACTGCAAATTACTAACACTTTAGAAGTGACTGGATAATGGGGCAATACATGTTTTTATTTCTAGACTCCCCTTTAATATATTCAGGGGGGAAAAAAAAACTTCTCAAGGGAGGCCTACATCTATTTTTGGCTAGGAATAATTTGACAAAAAGAGCTCGTATCGTTAGTAGCAAGGAAAACAAAAAACAAGCTACTTAGGAGGCAGAGGCAAGAGGATCTAAAGTTTAAGCCAGCCCAGGCAAGACAGTAGGGAGATCCCATCTCAATAAGGGCTGGGATGTGGCTCAAATGGCAGAGCATTTGCATTATACACATAAGGAGACCCCAGACTCAATCTCACAAAAGAAGTAGAAAAAAATACATTTAGATGACAATCAATCATGAAGCACAAGCAAATAAGAGGCAAGTCTACACAGGATGAATGACTGGAGATCATGGGTACATACTTCAAGTGCAGTATAGTGATGTCTCCCAAGAACCCATAGCAGTTATTTGAGAAAAGTAAACGTGACTTAGTAACAGGAAAGTACAGGCTATAGCTCTGGAAAACTTTCATTTTTACAAGACTTTATAAAGTTTTAGAAACCAGAAGACTAGTATTGTTTAGTGTCTTGGGAGGGAGAGATGACCAGGAAGTAAATGCTCTAAAGCAGGTAATTTCAAATAACCCTCACAATGAAGAAAAGTTAAAAAAGTTTTACCAGATCACTGATAAACCACAACACTGATAACACCACCCAGGAAGAGGGAAGAAGGCTGGTGGATGGGGAAACACACAGAGAGATGAGAAATGGAAGTGGATTAGGAGGTGAAGATATACAACCAATGTGCAGGGTGGATGAAGGGAACAGAACAATCCTGGTTGTCTGTCAGGCAAGTATTATTGAGGAAGGTGATTGTGGAATGAAATTATTAAGCACAGCTAACAACAGTCCAGGAGATCTGACAGATCTATACTGGCTAACAAAGGGAGCATACAGTAGAGTCAGAAGTGAAAACAAACAAAAATCCAAACAAAACCAAAAACCACAGGGCTTGAGGGGTGTGAGCCTCAGAGCTACTATAGCCACTGAAGAGTGCAGTGCTGAGATTTCAGATATAATCAATCACTGGTACTGACATCAAAGGTCATGAGTGGGAGTTCTGAGGTATAGGAAACACATAGGTAAGTACATGACTGTTGTTTTTTAACTATGACATTTATTTACTTAAAACATCTAATGATCTTCATCAGACTAGTGTCAACAACTGTCAAAAACACTCACCCAGAATTTGGCCAGTGAGTTGCTTCTCCATAGCTGTAGTTGACAAGATCACACTTATGATTTATAACTTCTATCATCTATTAAAAAAATTAAGAGTCTAGTTTAGGCAGAAGTTTCTAGAAACAAATTAGTAAAGTTTTTGACAGTCCAGGAGCTTGAACTCTAAACATGGGTGCTATCCCTGAGCTTCTTTTGTTCATATCTAGCACTTTACCACTTGAGCCATAGATCCAGTTCCGGCTTTTTCTGAGTAGTTTATTGGAGATAAGAGTTTCATAGACTTTCCTGCCTGGGCTGGCTTCCAAGTGTGATCCTCAGATCTCAGCCTCCTTAGCAGTAGGATTATCAACATGAGCTCCCAGGGCCTGACCATTAAAGTTTCTTAACCACGCATATTCTTATTTAAAAATGACTTCTAGGCATATCATGATAAACAGAAGAGGTAGAAGGAGATACAGTAGCATAAGTAGTAAAAATAAAAACAAAAAGCTATTATTTATAGGAATAAGTGGGATTAGGAGAGGAAAGAGACAGAGGCTTTAAAACCATTAAGGTCATATGATAAAATAAAGTACAGAGTATCTGTGAAGTTTTAAATATCTTTTAGCTGATAGGAGTGAGCTGGCTAAGACGTCTTTTCAAAAAGTATCTCAAAATTGCTTATTAGTGTGGTTTTACTAGCAATGATGGATAAAACCAACATTTTTTACAAATAATTTTCCTGATAATTTTAAAGAAAAATAATCTTAAGATGATAAACATTTTATTATAAGCAAAGTTCTCATATACCAAATATGGTTCACTAAACTTCTACAAACATCAATGACTAATCTGTATCTATATCAATCAATAATTCATAAATACTCACAGCTCTGATGAGGCCCGTGCCTGTTTCCATAGTACTAAGCCGTGTATCACCGATCTTGATGGAAAGAATTTGAGCACCAGGAGCTACTCCATTCCGTTCAGGCTCTTCTGGAAAATGTCCAGCTGCTATACTGGCTACATGTGTACCATGAGCTCCTAGAGGCAGGAAGTATATATGGGGGAGAAAGAGGGACATCCTCACACATATGAAAAATTTAACCATTAATAAAACCTGCACATTAATCCTGGTTTAAATAGCCAAGTAAAAATATATCCTGATCTAATTAATCCTAAGTAATAATAATAATAATTCACAAAGAGAAAACTTTCACATTTACTTTTTGCTACCCGGAATTCTATTCTGTTCATGGAGAGCAAAATACAAGTCCCAGGGGTGACAGTGATTAAGATGCACTGTACTCATACACTCACTTCTGGAACTGAAATCCCTTCGCACAACTACTTAATAAAACGTATTTCACAAAAGAAGCCATTTCCACACATCAGACAAACCTATGAAATGATGCTTAATTTCCTTAGTGATCTGGGGAATTGCAAATGAAAGCCGTAAGGAGATACCTCTACATATTTTCAGGATAGCTAAAATTTTAAAGACTGACAATACCAAGTGTGGACAGGATCATATATCACATGCTGCTTGTGAGAGTAAAAGCTCAACCTAGGCACAACTCATTGACTCAGGGATCCTAACATGAGCGACATTTCAGAGAAATGTGTGCACAAGAACACAACTCATTGACTCAGGGATCCTAACATGAGCGACATTTCAGAGAAATGTGTGCACAAGAATACAACATATCCATCAAAATGTCCTGAAGCATTATTTGTAGAATTCAAAATCTAAACCTGATCCATTAACAGTAAATGAATATATGGTATATCAATTCACAAAATTGATCACTAGAGCTATAAATATGAATTGTTTCTATGTATTATGAAAATGAAACAAAAATAAGATTGAACTGAACTCCCATTCAAACAGTTTCAGTCATTTCATTTATATATAGAAATACTAATGAATGCATAGATTTCTATAAATGAAAGGCTAAATCATGTGAAATTGCCTGCTATTTTATCATTTCTGATGTAGACAAACAGTATATGGTAAAAAGTAACATAGTAATAGAAAATCAGGACACAGTTAATCAGCTGACTTGCTGAGGGTTACTGAGAACAAGAACACGAAGCAGGCTTTGTAATGTTCTAATTCTTGATCTAGGTGGTGCTACCAACAATTATCCATTTTAGCATAATTCATTAAGTATCCAACTTGTGATTTATATAATATCCTGCATATATATCCTATATGAATAAAGTAAAGCAAAAACAGAACGTAGACTTTTTCCCCCCAAGTGAAAAAGTTTCTTAAGGCATGAATATAGAAATATCTCATTACTATCAAAACAAACACATATGGAACCAACCCAGATGCCCCTCAGTAGATGAATGTATCAAGAAAATGTGGTATATATACACAATGGAATTCTATGCCTCCATCAGAAAGAATGACATTGCCCCATTTGTTAGGAAATGCAAAGACTTGGAAAAAATTACATTAAGTGAAGTAAGCCAGGCCCAAAGAAACATAGGTCCCATGGTTTCCCTTAATTGCAATAACTAGTATATATCTAAGACAAGCAGAAAAGGTCAGATAAGATGATGTTAAGCAAAATGAACCCCAAGATAAGGACACAAGTGGTTTTGTCTTTCTTGCTATTGTTTCTAACATATTTATAAGGTACCATGTAATTTTTGTTGTTGCTTTGTATGTCTCTCCCCCATGGTATAACCCCTGTTTTCACAGTATTTGATGTTGGTATAATTTGGAGAGTGGAAAGGAAAAAACAAGTTGCTTAAATAGGGACACAGGTTGACCCATTACAACAATGAAATGTACAAGATTCTATGTCGAAAAATGAACTTTACAATTTAGGCGGAAAGGGGAGGGGGGAGATGTAGTTGTGGAGATGGGAGGGAAGGGATAGTAGGAGAAAAAGACAAAGGAGGAGACCACAATCCTTGGTAAGAAATGTACTCATTACCTTGCTCATGTGATTGTAACTCCTCTGTACAGTATTTTCACAATGAAAAACTTATTTAAAAAACACATAAACAAGCAATACAAGTACAATGATAAATGACAATGGGCCTATTATGTGGGAAGAGTGGAGAAGCAGAGCTCCAGGACCCTTCAAAGTAGGTCTCCACAAAGCTGAGACTCTCCTGCTCTGGACAGCAAAGGTTGACATGCAAGAAAATACATACCCAATATTTCTAATTCTCATTTACGTTTTCCAGTTAAAAATAGCAAAGCAAAATTTTAGTGTTTAGTTTCCCCTCAAAAAAATCTTATCACCACCACCCACCAGTCAGAGTGGCCATCCTAAGGGAAGACCAAGGACCCTGGGAGCAGGCAAGATGAAGGCCATCAGCAGCTTCCACCCTCTGTGGGAACAGAGGAGGCAAACCACCAACCTATTTTAAAAAGATCAACAATCTACAAGTAGGTGAAAAAATAATATACCCATGTGATAAATGCTGCTCAGCAATAAGGAGCAAACTGTGTGTGTGTGTGTGTGTGTGTGTGTGTGTGAATATACCCATGTGATAAATGCTGCTCAGCAATAAGGAGCAAACTGTGTGTGTGTGTGTATGAATATACCCATGTGATAAATGCTGCTCAGCAATAAGGAGCAAACTGTGTGTGTGTGTGTGCGTGCGTTCGTGTGTGTGTGTGTGTGTGTGTAGAGTGAGAAAAAAAGTGTAAGAAATACGAAGTAATTCAGAGTAACAGAAAGCAGTACAATGGTTGCTTGGAATGCAGGTGGAAGAAGTTGAAGAAGCCAGGCACCGGTGGCTCATGCCTGTAGTCTTTTAGTTGGGAATCTCCAGATTAAATTCTGTAAAAGGCTGCTTTGCACTATAGGATTTTATTATTCTACTCCATTACCATCTCTCATTAGTAAATAAAAAAGAGAATACCTCCACTAGTCACAATGGAGAGCAGATTTCCCTCATCATAAATATTAACAGAATAATTCAACATCTCAGCTGTGCCAAAAGAGCCATATTCTTGGGCCACATTGTAGTTTCTCAAAACTGTGGATTTACTCAAATCTCCATCTTCATTGGAATCAATGCAGGCTCTGTTAAGTGAGAAAAACAGTTATTCAATTTTTACCAATTTTCTTACCCTGAATGACACATAAGTCTGAGTTACCTATTCATCCTTTCACTCAAACACAGTAACTAGATTCCTTTATTTCTGAGTCAGCAGTTAAGGCCTAGACAAGAGAGTTTCTAGGAATCACTGCTTAAAACATGCACAGATTGCTCAACAACACTGCCCTTCAGTAGAAAAATGATCTGGCCACCAAAGAACTTAGATCCAAAACTTAGGCTGGAATTGTATACTATAGGACGGTTTAGACAAAGCCTAAACTCACTTTCTCCTATGTGAATCCAGAAGCCTATACACGTGTCCTCAACCTAGATGAACTCTTATCAGACTTCAGTCTCACAGTCCAAACAAACGAGCAATTATCAAAGTGTTAGGCATATGCATTTTCTATGTAACTTTATGGCTGTCCTTCTGCCTAAGCTTTCTCTGCCATGTTTTCAATTTTAAAGACATATTTCAAAATTTGGTAGTCTAAGTAAATAATTCCAATATTAAAAAGTCACAAATGGGGTGCACAGCATCTAAAGATAAGTGTTATGTTACAACACACTTTTTCATTTCTGTTTTTTGGTGCAGGTCCTAAAGCTTGCCCTCAGGGCCCAGATAATGTCCCTGAACTTTTTTACTCAAGCAAAGTACTCTAGCACTTGAATCATACCTCCAATTCCTTTTCTGGGTGGTTAACTGGAGATATGAGTCTCTTAGGCATGAGCCACCAGCATCTAGCTTTGGAACACATTTTTTAAAACAAAAATTGTGTTTTACCAAGCTGAACCTCTGTAAGGTCCCACATTATCAAACTTCTACTTACTCCCCTGTGTCTTCCCTCACAAAATACCCCATAAAGGGCTGGGAAGGTGGCTTAGGGGTAGAGTGCTTGCCTTGCATGCATGAAGCCCTGAGTTCTATTCCTTAGTACCATATAAGTAAAACAAAACACAACAAAAAGCCAGTAGTAGTGCTATGGCTCACGTGGTAAAGTGTTAGCCTTGAGCAAAAGAAGGGTCAGGGACAGTGCCTAGGCCCTGGCAAAAATAAAATAAAATTCTTTTTTGTTGTTGTTGGTCGTGGGGCTTGAATTCTGGGCTTGGGTGCTGTACCTCAGCTCTTCAGCTCAAGGCGAGACCTCTACTGCTTGAGCCACAGTGCCACTTCCGGTTTTCTAGTGGTTTTACTGGAGATAAGAGTGTCATGGACTTTCCTGCCCAGGCTGGCTTTGAACTGTGATCCTCAGATCTCAGCCTCCTAAGTAGCTAGGATCACAGGCGTGAGCCACCAACACGCAGCTAAAATTTTTTTTAAATAAGTTTTTTATTGTAAAAATACTGTACAGAGGGGTTAGTTACATGAGCAAGGTAATGAGTACATTTCCTATCCAGCATTGTTGCTTCCTTCTTTGTTTTTCCCCTATCATCCTTTCCCTCACACCTCCACAACTACACTCCCCACCCCTACCTCCCAAATAAAATTCTATGGCCATACTAAAATCCTTACACTTTGTCCAATGGCTTCTGATCTTTCCATCTTTAAAGTCCTTTCTCATCCTCTTTGCTTAGCTAAGAGTTTAATGTCTCAACTAAAATGGTGCTACTTCCCAGACTGGTTCCATGCTTTGCAGAATCTGGAGCATGGAATAGCTTCTATCAAGTTTATTTGGTACAAAGAATCTACTTAATAAATACTGACCAAATGGTGAAAGAACTAATGAATCAACATTAATAAAAATATAGTGATGCATTTTTCATACACCAGATTCTTACAATCAGTATCGAAATCAACAATATAAGCATCCCATCAAAGTTTAAGTAGTCAATGATTTCATGAACTCCACAGAGGGCAAACATGAAAGTGTTCAAAAATTATAACTTTCAGAAAGTTTGGTTGGTTTAATTTAAAAAGCAGCTGTTAAGGGGCTGGGAAGGTGACTCAGTGGTAGAGTGCTTGCCTTGCATGCATGAGGTGCTGTGGCTCAAGTGGTAGAGCACTAGCCTTGATGTGGAGAGCTGAGGGACAGCGCCCAGGCCCAGAGTTCAAGCCCCACAACCAACAAAAGAAAAAAAAAAAAGAAAGGAAGTTGACATTTCAAAAGTAGAAGCAAGAACACAGATAATACCTAAATTTTCCTTAGGAACTTTGGGATCCTCAAGATTCTCTTTTACAAATTTTGGACCTTAAGCCATGTGCCAGTGGCCCACACCTATAATCTTAGCTACTAGAGAGGCTGAGATCTGAGGACTATGGTTAAAGCCACTCCTCGGTGGGAAAGTCCATGAGACTCTTATCTCCAACTGACCACCAAAAAGCCAGAAGCAGAGCTGTGGATCAAGTAGTAGAGTGCTAGCCTTGAACACAGAACCTCAGAGGCAGCACCCAGGCCCATGACCTAGGAGCAGCAGAGAACTACAGCACTGATTATGTCATGCAAACAAGAACCACCTGAAAGAATAATTTTGCTGCATAAATTAAACTACAATTTTCTAAAAAGTTCCCCAGGGCTTCCAATTTTATTTCATTTAATTTTTGATTGAATTTCATTTCTAACACCAAAATTCTAAAGGTAATAGACATCAACAAACAAAAGAATCACTTCATCCAGAAAGTCTTCTGTAAACATAAATGGCACCCTGCTCTTTATTCTAAGCTAAGAGCTAAGGAGAAAACTAATTTGTAGTGATTTCAGAATCATAGCAAATACTCTCCAATTCCTATTAACATTTTCATATCTAACTCCTTCTGTAGTTTTGCATTTAGCATCGTCCTTACATTTTGCCTTATCTCGTTCTCCCACACCAACTCATTCCAGTCTGCTTAATGAAGTAATAATCAGTTCAATAGTACACCAAGGGCACATATACTAAGACATTCTGAACTATACGTGTAAATGACTTTATTTTATAAACACTGTGATGAACACTTTCTGTATAAAACTTAGGGGGAAAATTTCAACACCTGTGTATGCCTGCACACAAGCAAACCAAAATAGCCTATCTGAACACACACACAAAATACTGTTTGGATTCAAACACATATCTTATTAACCCTTCCATGTAAAATAGAACTTCTCATTAAATAGTAGCAAACAAGGCATAAGCCGGAAGAAAGCTCTTCCTTTAGAAGGCTGAGTGGTAAAAGTGAGCAGTCTCAACAGTTATCAAGCAATGATGTCATAATCCGTATGGCCTTTGTGTAGGGATTCATATTGCAAATGCTTCTTAGTTACAGGGTTCAAAGAAGAGTCCTGGCTTCTTATTGTGGGGTTCTCTAAAACATAAACAGGACTCATCTGTATTCAGAGCACATTTGCTTTCATGTAGATAGTAATGCAAGAAGAAAACTCCAACTACAAGAAACACATCTGCTCTTTACAAGCACTGAAAAAGAAACCAAATAATGTAACTCAGGGTAAGTCACATTATTACTTGTGGATGGTAGCAGAAATAACTGCAGAATAGCTTACATTTACTGATTCCTTACTGTATCTGGGAAGACTAAGTTTAATTTTCATAAGACATTTATACATACTACAATCACATAAATAGACAAGGAAACAGGTTTAGAAAGGTTTAAGTGTTGTATTCAAAGTTGGAAGATTCCAACTCAGCCTTCAATCACTGTTACAGTGCCTCTTTTGACTCATTACCCTGTCTCTATTTAAAACATCATCACCCAACTTTCCTCCTTTGACATTCTTTTGTAGTAAATGCAGTGACTTTCAAATTGTTCAGGTGCAATGATAAACACTATTGTGAATACCTATCATCAACCACCTATTATAACTAAGGAAATAAGTTTCTCAAAATAGCATCTAAAATACATGAAATTTACCTCCAAGCTTCACCATCATGCCACACCAAGCAGTCATAAACAGGACCAGGATCACTATACTTTTTCTCAAAACAATTTAGCAATTCCACTTGACTCTGAAGCTCTTCCTTAATTAGTTTATTTGCCTAATTAGAAAATAGATTTAAAAAAAAGAAAGTAGATCAATATTAGGACATTTTGTGCTTTTAAGTCCTGCTAACAAATGACCAGACAGTGGTTGACCAACAGAAAAGTCACTTTACCCTGGTAAAAAGTTTTATAAGAATTTTTTTTAACATCTATGTAGTTCAATTCAATGAAGCAGTAGCAATTTGTAAATGAAATAGTTAAGAGTTCTTTTAGTCTCTCATTCATTCATTCCCTCCCCTTGCCTTCAATTTGTTATAAAATATGTTATCATCTTTATATCCAATTTACTTTTCAAGAACTAAAATAATCAAGTACATAAAATATCTGAATTTCTTTAAAAGTGTTATGTATAGGGCTGGGAAGGTAGCTCAGTGGTAGAGTGCTTGCCTTGCATGCATGAGGCCCTGGGTTTGATTCCTTAGCACCACATAAACAGAAAAAGCTGGAAGCGGTGCTGTGGCTCAAGTGGTAGAGTGCTAACCTTGAGCTGAAGAGCAGAGGGACAGCGTCCAGGCCCAGTGTTCAGGCCCCACAACCAAAAAAAAAAAAAAAAAAAAAGAAAGAAAAGTTTTATGTACATAGAAGGATTTAATGGGGCAAGGACTTAATGGGATTTTATTTTAGCTTTGTGGTCATGAAACTAAACAGAGTATCAACACATTAAATAACACGCACCCCCTCCCCCAGACTCTTCTCTAACAAGAGCATGAAACCATCATGGACATGGCATGCTTAAACAGAACATAAAGGGGCAATACAAAACCTTGTCAAAAATAACCAATTACAGTTTGAGTACAAAAACTTGTACTCATTACATAACTAGTAAGCTCTGGTAGAAGTTGAAAATTGTGTTGTGTGGACCAGGATCAGGTCTAGCGTGTTTTAATCTAGCCTGAAGTTTAACTGGAATACAACCATACACCAGTTACAAATTGCCTGTACTTTCATAATACAATGATATGTTGCATAATCATGATGTTATGTTTACAGAAATGTTTAGCCACCTCTGAGAAACAACGTTTAGACTGTTCAAAAACCAATTTTCATTTTACAAATAGTGTGGTATATGTACTACCCTAGAGCTGAGAAATATGAATCCAAACCCAGTTTTGCCATTTATCAGCCACTCAATCCTGAGCAGGTTTCTCATCCTCATGGCTGAGACTGGCAGGACAGTAGTTACCAAACTTTATTGTACATAATCATTTGAAAACTATACAGATGGTGAAAGGAATCTATATAGATCATGCAAATATAAGTTAAATTTGTACACAGGAATATGGGAATAGGTCACTGCTTCTTTCCTAACATTGGCTGCACTTTTAATTAATGTTCCTTGGGAGCTTTAAAAACACCTGTCTCTCCCATATGGCTTGAATCTAATTCTTTCTAGGACATGAGCACTGGTATTTTGTATAATTCTCCAGCAGTGGGTCTACAACTGCTAATGAGAGTCCATTTTTGATTAGGAAAATGATAAATGTGGTATATTAAATGAACAATTCACAACCTTAAGTTGTGGTAAACATTCCTGGTCGTGGCAGTATGAAGGCTTTCTTTCACTGCTGCTTCATTATACTTGGTCATTCCAAATTGCTGAAACTAGCACATATGATTTTTGTAATAGAGAAATTACTTTCATTTATAAATTGATTAAAAATTAGTGGGTTTTTTCATATAGTTCTGTTAGGAATACAAATTAGTATGATCACTTTATCATCCTCCAAAAGACATACTGAAGAATATTTAAAGCAACATTAGTATAAACAGACAAAAAAACAAAAACTAAGCAAGTAGCTGTTGGCCAAACAGCTGAAGTGGTTAAGTTGTGTTACATCCACTAAATAGACTATCACAGAGGAAAGAATGAACTATAATGCCCCAGAGGTGAACAGATGCCCTAACATTACAAGTGCCAAACAAGACATCCTGTGCAGTTCACTTTAGAAAACCCAAGGTAGGAAAAATCACTCCACAGGGTAGAGGAGGCAGAATGGTGGCTGCCTTTGGGGAGGAGGAAGGAGCAGGGGCTTGGATAAGGCCTAGTGCAGCTAAAGTAATACAGTTCATAATAACTGGCTGAAACCACTGAAAATATTAACATAAATAATAAATAATAAAGGAAAAATCAGTAATATTAACCTAGTAATGAGATAAACAGAAAAAAGTAAACCTGTGAAAAAGTAGTTCATGCATTTGTTGAGAATTCTAAAAAATAGGCTCTATGGCAGTCTAAAAAACAAACAAACAAAAAAAACTTAGCACCAACTTGGGAAGTGCCGTTGTTGCTGACATCAAATTCTTCCTGTTTTCTACAGGCTTCTGCAAGGGCCACCCTGTGAACCGGATCCCATATTTTTTCTTTCCGTTCTTTCTGCAAAGACAAAAGACTGATCTTACAATGGGACTGGAAAGTCTGTAGGTAATCCTAGCTAGTAGTCTACACGGAGGCCTATTGGCCAGCAGGTACGATGCCGTACTGCTATTTTAGAGCAAGTACCAAGACATGCCATGTTTAATGTAAATCCTTCTCTTCTATAAAATTCAGAACCACCGCAAAAAACTGAATTCTCAGTCATTTAAAGGAAGAAAATACTGACCTCTCAACTCTGGCACTGCAAAATGCCTAAAGCAATGAAAGTCAAGGCTGGGTGCAGAGGATGACAACTACTGGATGGCCATGCAAGGCCCCTCAGTCTTCATTACTCCTGACCTGGGTTCTAGATTCCTGGGACTTGTATTAACCTTTATTATCTTTAACACTCAGTAACTTCCAACACAAGTGAAAGGAATCCTTTTTAAAAAACTAATCAACTTGACTAAGCTAAAAGAAGGGTCCACTTAACCACTTTATATGTTTCAACGGAATTGATTAAATTTTATGTACTAAATAGCAAAGCCACAACATGTTTGTTTCAAGCTGAAAATTTTAAATAAAATAGTACTAAATATGTGCATAAGAATAACGAATTCTGTGTTACAGACCCCAGAGGAAGTATATACCACTGTGATGTGTAGGTATCATTCCTTGTTTTATAACTGCATTGCTAGACTTGGATCACTACTATCACCACAGCATTTTACATGTGGCACTGTCCAATATAGTACCCACTAGCCATGGTTACTATGTAAACTTACACTTTAAAATATTACATACAACTAACATTCCAATCATCTGTTATACATGGATTTCAAGTCCTCAATGCCTACCAAGGCTGGTGCCTCCCTCCCCCAATGGACAGAAGAGACACTGAATGAACACTTTAAGCACTTGTGTGCTAAAAGGAAGTTCTATTTTAAAGCAAGAGCCTCGCCACTCTTATTTAAGCTCTTCCTTCTCTAATGACAGCCTTGTGCTTCTTAGACCTCACGTCAGCAGCTGTGCTCTGATTATAACCCTACACTTAATACTCAATGGTGACTATAAGACAGATAGCCAGACAGCAAGAAATATGAAGCAAACTTTCTTAGAGACTTCAGGAACAGAAATAAATTTGGTAGTTCTAGTGAACCCTGTTTAACCCTTTTCAAATAGAAAAGTCTTTCAAAAATCAAATGAAAAATCATTCCACTTCCCAGAAAGCACAAACACAGAAAAGTTTGAGTATATTTTCATTGTATTTAGATTCTTTAAACTTAACCATGAGTCCAGGATTAAGAACTACTAATTTAAGTGGGTCACATTCCATTAACAGAATTTTTCTTTATGCAATAATTTTTTGAAAGTCACCCACTCTCCAAAATAAGGGGCTAAGATGTAGCTTTAGTGGTAAAGTGCTTTACCTAGCAAGTACAACACAGTCTGGGTTTGATCACCAGTACCAAAAAAGAAACACCAAAAAAGAACCAAGTTAATGAGATATTGTGAAACATCTTTTTATTTCTTTCAATAGGAATAAGGCCTCAGGAAGATTTACAAACCATGGCCACTGGGCTGTACATACCTGTATCCTTTCCTTGAGAGCCTTTGGGTAGAAGTCATAGCCATTTTTTATGCCAATATGATATTTGCCTGAAGGATTTGTCCAGCTTGTAGGTATCTACAGAGAAAAGGGAAATCATTCACTCACTCAATGTTTTCTAATACCAATGGTACACCCTGGGGTAGAAAGTAGTTTATATTTGTGCTTCATGGCTAACACTGAATAAGCTGATCCTCTATAAGAGAAATAGGTTTAATATTCCAAGTTTTTACTTAACATCATTATGGCTTCATTTTTCATATCCATAAACAAAAGACTGCTCAGCCAAAAACCCTTTCATTTACACAGTGCTTCAGTTTAAAAGTGTGTTCCAAAAAACACTACTTCGTTAAACCACTAAGATTATTAGTATTTTTAAAATAATGCTGATACCTCATTTTACTTTTCACACTTGAGGAGGTGAGGAAATAATTTACAGAACATTCTCCACATCTGTAAGTCCACCCTTTACTCTCTACCACACCACAGGGATAATGCAGGGATGCTGAAAATAAATAAACAGCTATCTTAAACATGATTATAGTAGCCACAATATAACCAAGTGAATTAGTAAGACATGTATGTCTCAAGACATGTATGTCTCTAACTACTATTTATCTTTCTTTCTTTCCTTCTTAAGAAACCAAAATAACAACTTTTTCTTCAATGCACCTCATATCATCATGTGTTACTGCACCAAGCAGTAAAAATCCTTGTAGGTTCCCCCTCCTCCAATTGACTTCAGACTCTGTAGCCTGGCACATGCCAGTGCTCTTGAACACCATCTCCTCCAGCTGTCATTGCACCTACATGTGGTGCTAAATCTAGCCATGGGATTCAAGGTGACTGGGCTGGCCCTTTACATTTGTTGTTGTTGTTTTCTTAAAATATGTGAAGTTAAATAGTGATCATTTTAAAGTAGTTTCAACTTAAATGAACACAATTAAAAATAAAAAAAAGCACAGCGCTGTTCCCTTCCAAAATGTGTCTACAATTAGAATGGGAGGGGGAACCACAAAGGACAAAGACATGAGAAGGTCACATTTTGAAGATTGCAAAATGGAAAAAAAAAAAAAAAAAGGAAATAAAATTGTTGGAGAAATACTTGGTTCTGGGACATTGGGGGTTCTTATGGAAAAAGAAAATAGGGCTCTTGTTTCAAACCAAGCATAAAAAATCTATTTGTCAAATTCTAGACCAAATATGAAGAGAAAAAGACTTAGAAATATAGAATATCTTCATGACCAATGTGCCAAAAAAGTCATAAGTTAAAAATCCTATTGAAAAGACAGATAATTTTTCAAGTAACTATTTCTAGGGGGTTGATAAGGGGCTTGAACTCTGGGCCTGGGTGCTGTTCCTGAGCACTTTTTTTTTTTGTCGGTCGTGGGGCTTGAACTCTGGGCTTGGGCGCTGTCCCTGGGCTCTTCAGCTCCAGGCAAGCACGCTACTGGTTGAGCCACAGTGCCACTTCCGGTTTTCTAGTGGTTTTATTGGAGATAAGAGTCTCACAGACTTTCCTGCCCGGGCTGGCTTTGAACCGCGATCCTCAGATCTCAGCCTCCTGAGTAGTTAGGATTACAGGCGTGAGCCACCGGAGCCTGGCTCCTGAGTGCTTTTGCTCAGGCTTGTGCTCTATCACTTTGAGCCCAGCTCTACTTCTGGTTTTGGGTAGTTAATTGGGGATAGAGTCTCATAGACTTTCCTGCCTGGGCTGGCTTTGAACTGTGATCCTTAGATCTCAGTCTCCTGAGTACCTTGGATTCCAGGTATGAGCCACCAGTTCCCAGCTTCAACTAAGTTTAGAACTTGCATTCATCAAGCTAAATTATGTTAAAAGTAAAAATGTAGACTGAGAGAACACATATACATGCGATATGTATAGCAATACCACAGCAAGAATGCACGCCTGAGGTTCAAGATTCAAGCCCACGATAATGGCACAAAAGAAAACAGGCAACATACATATATACATACATACAACTACACATAACTAAAGCTAAGAGCAAAGACAAAGAACATTACCATTATCCCAGAAACTTCTTGCCTTCTCTCAGATTACAAGCAATTTAAACTTTCATGGTAATAATTTCTTTGCAGTCTTACTACTTACTTAAAATTTAGTTATAACTAGTTTTGAACTTTATGTAATGACTTCATTTCTGTATAATTTTATAGTCTCATTTATCTTTCCTTTGTAGTGCCTGGAGGATTTGAAATTCTTTGATATTTATAACATTTGCCCACAACATGTAGCAAGAATGTGTTCACTTTCAGGGCTGTGATGCCATGACTTGTTTGTACACAGAACATTCTACCCATTCTACTGTAATGTCTAGCTTGAGACTGTCACTAGCAATTCTTTAGAAAGCTTTCTTATACACATTTGTTATGCATGTATGTAAGTCACAGAGACATAACTTCATGCCAAGCTTCACCCTTGATATTTTCAGATTTTTAATTGTTTTAAACGTGCTGAAGAAATACATCAAGTTGGAAAAACATGTATTTATTAATCTTATCAAAGGTTTTCACCTTTCTTAATGAGAATATATAGACATTATCCATGTAATTTTACCTTTGAGCATTAATGACATCAGTTCATATGGTTTATTCTAAACAGGCTACTAGAGCTATCTAAAAATAAATGACTAAGAATAATACCTGATACGGTTCTAAATCTGACTTACTAGGAATGCTGTTTCCTAAAGTAGTATAATTCATTCCAATCTAATTCTTTTTATTAGCTTAAAAAAGACTAAGAAATTATAGTCAATTTTTTCCATCCTCTACACTCACTTAGCTAATATCTCATAACTACTCTTGTGCTTGTTTTATAATTATTTTTGGTGATAGTTGTTTATTTCTCTCCTTTTTTCTTTGTCCGTCATGGGGCTTGAACTCTGGGCTTGGGCGCTGTCCTTGTGCTCTTCAGCTCAAGGCGAGCACTCTACCACTTACTTGATCCACAGCACCACATCCTATAATTATTTTTTATGTTTAGTTTATTCAAGTCTTTCTAGCAAGGACACAGAATAAAGGCCAAATATTTAAATCTATAGTTATTATGGCATAAATATTCTTTCCAGTCAAGTGAACTGATAAAACTATAAAGGGATAGGAAATGATGAGGTCAAACTATAGGGGATCACTTTCTCCACTATTTAAAACTTAAAATTGGAATTTGTCAACCTCATGAAAAAGTAACTCCAGCTTTAGGTGTTTTATCTAATAACAAAGCAAACAGCTTCTTCTACCATGGTCCTAATGATCCACATCTTGTAGTATTATGAGATTCTCTCCCCTCAAATGTATACTGGAATTATTGACTTACTCTGAATGAACAGAATTTAGTGAAGTGATAGATATCACTTTCAGAATTACTTAATAAAGGACTGGGCTCTTACTTGCCCTAAGAGAAGATAGCTGCCATGGTATAAAGCATCATGGTAGAGAGGCCAAGAAATGCCAAACCCTTCCAATAAGCTTGCTAACAGCTACACACACATACATACGCACACATGTGTGTGTTAAGCCTCGCTGTAGCCAATGATATGCAAGTTTCTCAGAGAACAACAACAGGAGGTTATCCAGCTTAGTCACACCTGGATTCTCAAATCTCAGAAACTTCTTTTTTTAGGGGTCCAATTGTGGGGCCTGAACTAGGGGCCTGGGTGCTGTCCCTCAGCTCTTCAGCTAGCGCTCTACCACTTGAGCCACAGTGCCACTTCCGGCTTTTTTCTTTTTGCTTATGTGGTGCTGAGGAATCAAACCCAGGGCCTTGAGCATGCAAGGCAAGTGCTCTACCACTGAGCCACCTTCCCAGCCCAACAGCACAGAAATAAAATAAATAAGAAGCTAACACTAACCTTAAGCACTCTTCCTGAAAGACCAACAATTTCTCCATCTTTTGGTTCCACTTCTGTAGCAGTATTCACGTCACCACTTCCTGTTGTATCAATGATATCAATGATTTTTGGTTTTCCATCAGTTGTAACCTAAAAATTGAAACAATATGAATTACAGTTTTTAACCTTTAAAGAAAGCAATGCAGCTGGGCGCCAGTGGCTCACGCCTGTAATCCTAGCTACTCAGGAAGCTGAGATCTGAGGATGGTGATTCAAAGCCAGCCTGGGCACTCAGAAAACCCGAAGTGGCGCTGTGGCTCAAGTGGTGGAGTGCTCACCGTGAGCTGAAGAGCGCAGGTACAACGCCCAAGATCAGAGTTCAAGCCCCACAACTGACCAAAAAAAAAAAGAAAGAAAGCAATGCAAACCTATGTACATGTACACATGTATAAAATTTCCCACAAAAAAATTTTCTTTAGGTGATTTGGTATTTCAACACCCTAAATTTAGATGCTGGGGACACAGCAGTGATCAGTACATGATTATCTCTGATCTCACAGATCATATAGTGAGGAAGCAATCAATAAACTAATAGGCTAAAAAAAAAAAAAGAGCATGAGGTTCATGTGCTTTTAATTGTAGCTTGGCTGGCCAGAGGGAGGGTCTTACTGGTAAGAAAAAGAAGAGATCTGAAGGAGATGAGTGTTGGGCTGGATAAGTACAAAACTTTAAAGGAAAGAATACTTTTACGATTGAAATGCCACACTAGCACTTCAAATTTATCATCTACCAAGTTCAATGTAACATGGGCCCAAATCTGTTTTTCTCCAAGCTTTGCCTTCTCAGTAATCACCACACAGCTCTGCTTAAGCCAGAAACTAAAAAAAAATTTATCAGGCTGAGAAGGTGGCTCCGTGGTAGAGCGCTTGCCTTGCATGCACAAGGTCCTGGGTTCGATTCCTCAGCACCACATAAGCAAAAAGCCGGAAGTGGCGCTGTGGCTCCAAGTGGTAGAGTGCTAGCCTTGAGCTGAAGAGCTGAGGGACAGCACAGAGGCCCAGAGTTCAGGCCCCATGACCGGACCCCCCCCCAAAAAAATTCTTTTATCATTTTCTACTATTCTCATTATTACTATTATTACTTGTGCCACATACTGTCAGGAAGACCAATTAATTCTTTCTTTAAAATAGTTTAAATCTGAAAGTAGCGCTGGGGCTCAAGTGGTAGAGCACTAGCCTTGAGCTAAAGATCTAGGGAAAGGGCCCAAGCCCAGACTTCAAGCCCCATGACCGACCAAAAAAAAAAAATTAAATCCATCATATCTCTGATTTTTCACTACCCATTACCCTAATTCTCCATATCACTTGTGTCTCTTGTCTTTGCCCTCATATGTAGATCACTTCCTTAGCATCCTTTTCCACTGTTGGTCCCCACCAAGTAAGCATAGTAAAAACAAGCTCTCCATGGATTCACGGAGCGCCCAGAATATAGAAACTGTGCACCACTGACTGTTGCCACTCGTCACTCGTGACTGCTGACCACTGTTGCCTTTCCCAACTCCTGCAATGTAACAACCATTTCCCTGACTCATCACTTTTTCACAAGGACTGTTGTGCCTGAAATTCTCTAGCCCTGCAGTGGTTCAAAGATTCAATGCAATCTTTTGGTTTTCTAGTGAAATGTCCTTCAGGAGCTAATCCTCCTCCTCTATGATTGCCATCTGTATCTTGAGTTCATTCGCACTTCGTGTCCTCCACAGAACTTAAGTCACTTTAATTATCGTTTCCCCTATCAGAGAATAAGTTCCATAGGGGCAACAACTCTTCTATTCACCAACCAATGCCCAATTCCCAACAGTGCCTGTTTAGCACTCAAAAAGCCTTTAATTACTGTTAAAACACTATATATATATATAGTTTTTTATAGTAGTTATATAGTTTTTGCAATGTATAGTTTCTTGCCAGCCACAATGTTTTATCTGTACCACAAGCCTGTATAGGAAACAGCTGCACTATATATTCATGAGAAAATCCCAGACACTTTCTGGAATAGCTTTGCAAAAGCTATTTGGTGAATTTAAAATGTGTATTAAGCTAGATTCTGGTAGCTCACACTTGTAATCCTAGCTACTCAGGAGGCTGAGATCTGAGGATTGCAGTTTAAAGCCAGCCCAGGTGGGAAAGTTTATGAGACTTTTTTTTTTTCCTCCTGCTGGGTCGTGGGCCTTAACTCAGGGCCTGGGCCTTGTCCCTGAGCTTTATTGCTCAAAGCTAGCAGCTGTACAACTTTGAGCCACAGTGCCACTTCTGATTTTCTGGTGGTTAATTGGAGATAAAAATCTCATGGACTTTTCTGTTTGGGTTGGCTTTGAATCAAGATCCCCAGATCTCAGACTCTTGAGTAGCTAGCATCACAAGTGTGAGCCACCAGCACCTTGCTCCATGAGATAGACTCCAATAAACTACTTAGAAAAAAGCTGGAAGTGGTGTGGTAGCTCAAGTGGTAGAGCGCTAGCCTTGAGCAAAAAACTCAGGGACAGAGCTCAGGCCTGGAGTACAAGCCCCTAGCAACAATAACAACAACAAAACCCAAACACCACCACCACCAGCAACAACAAAACTAGAAATACAAATAAAAAATATAACAAAATAAAAACAAGAAGAAGTCAGTGCTACACATTAAAACTAGCTAGATAATGCATTATCAATATTTTCAAAGAAGTAATTTTAAAAATACACAATACTATTTCTTCATCTTTAAGAAGGGAACCATCTCTATGACTTAAAATCAATAACAAGAGATCACAAATAGGTCAGAATCCTCTCATCAGAAACCTCATTATGAGCATATGAGCAAAGGAAAGAAGCCTAATGGGATTTAGTGGCTTATTTATCATCTACTAAGTCAAGTATATCTTGTTCCTTCTATGTTCCTATCTTCCCTACTCTCTCTCCCCACTGCTTCCTCCCTCCTCCTCTCTCCGTGCTTCCCTTGCATCATAAACCTACACATTTTCATTAAAAATTCTTGTATGTGCAGTTTTCTCACCCATTTTTTATTTAAATTTTTTTTAAATTTTTTGTGGGGCTTGAACTCTGGGCTTGGGTGCTGTCCCTGAGCTCTTCAGATCAAGGCGCGTGCTCTACTACTTTGAGCCACAGCACCACTTCCAGTTTTCTACTGGTTTATTGGAGATGAGTCTTATGGACTTTACTGCTGGGTTGGCTTTGAACTGTGATCCTCAGATCTCAGCCTCCTGAGTAGTTAAGATTACAGGCATAAGCCACAGGCACCTGGTTTACCTTTGTTTTTTAATTTTAAAGTGAAAAACAACCACGTCACTTAAGAAAAGACAACAGTTTTTAAAGCTAGAATTAAAAAAGAAAGAAAGAAAGAAAAAAAGCCATGAGAATTTTGCAATGGACCTGTAGAAGTGAAGCTGGAGGCTCATGCTTATGATCCTCGCTACTCATAAGGCTGAGATCTGAGGATCACGGTTCAAAGCCAGCCCAGGCAGGAAAGTCTGTGAGACTATTATATTAATCACCAGAAAACTGGAAGTGGCACTGTGGCTCGAAGAGGTAGACTGCTAGGCTTGAGCAGAAAAAGCTCAGAGTCAGTGCCCAGGCCCCGAGTTTACATCCCACAACTAACAAAAAAAAGCAAAAAAAAAAAAAAAATGGAAGAAGAAATTGAACTACAAAATTGGAACTAAGTCCTCCCTCTGTCTCTGAGGAGGGAAAGGTGCCCAAGGTGAGTGACCAAAAGCCTGGACAGAGAAATTATAGACAGAGCTCAGGTAATATGCTCTGCCTGAATGGAAGACTGAAAAATGCATACTAGCCAGATGAAAGAAATTACCCAAAAGTTTTCCCCCAAATGTCAAAAATCTCAGTTACTGGGGCTGGGAAGGTGGCTCAGTGGTAGAGCGCTTGCCTTGCATGCATGAGGCCCTGGGTTCGATTCCTCAGCACCACATAAGCAAAAAGAAAAAAGCCGGAAGTGGCGCTGTGGCTCATGTGGTAGAGTGCTAGCCTTGAGCTGAAGAGCTGAGGGACAGCGCCCAGGCCCAGAGTTCAGGCCGCACGACCTGACCCCCCCCCCAAAAAAAAAAATCACAGTTACTTTATACCTCCAATATAACCATTATACTGAGGGAACTGATGAGGTTTGGGAACCGCTCACTGAGGCATTTGTAGAAAGGAGTCGAACAAGAGGGCAAAAGTAGAAAAACATTCCAAGCAAAACCAAGTGAATGTGTAAGTATTTACTTGAGATATTGAAAATGTGTTCTCGTGCAAGAACATTTTCTTATTCTGAGAATATATGCTAAATGGATAAGAGGATCTTTGATTTCAGAAAGTTTACCATCATTTGAGAAGATAGACAAGTAGAGAAAATAACACAATTAATAATAAAGGTTAAGGACAGCATATAAGAAAGAATCCAAGAACATAAAACCTAGCTTTCAAAAATGGGAAAGAGCTAACTGAAAGAGAGCTAACAAAAATTAAAAGCAGGCTGGCGCCAGTGACTCATACCTATAATCCTAGCTCCTCAGAAGGCTGAGATCTGGATGCTCATGGTTTAAAGTCAGCACTGGCAAAAATGTCTGAGATCTACTCACTTCTATTAACCAGCAAAAAGCAGGCTGGAAGCCTGGCTCAAGTAGTATTGTGATAACCATGAACAAGAAGGCTGAGTGAGCTTGAGACTATGAGTCCAATCCCCAGTACCAAACAAGCAAGTAACATTAGTAACCAATTATACAATTACTTCTTCTTTCCTCAAATACTTTTTCCCCATAAGAAAATCACAAGCCTGTGTTATGCACATATATTACACATACACTTTTCCTTAGCAAAATATTAATCATTATCAGATTATATATAAATTATGATATATGCTTTCAAAGAATTTTAACTTAACCAGGAAAATGGAACGTAAATAGAAATGCAAACTATTTTAAAGAGGATATGAACAAAAAAGAGGGAAAACCCCTAAATGTGTCTTATAAGCTTTATTAATCTTGAAGTCACAGACCCTTACGAAATGGCTAGTACATACAAACAAATATCTACTGGGAGGCTGAATTCAAGCAGTGATTTCCTAAAAGGTGATGACGTCAAGACACAGTTGAGTCCTAAAAGCATTAGGCAGGAGTTTACTGGCAATGGGAGAAGGCTTGCAGGCAGATTAAACTCCACAAGCAGTGGCATGTGGGTAAGTGAAGAGTAAAGGGCAGCAGCTAGCAGGCTGCAGACAGATGAAATGGTGGGAACTTCTAGCCACATGAGACTCGAGTTGGATGCTAAGGGGTCTTAAAATATATCAAGACGCAATTTTTTATAAATATTTAATCAAAAGCAATTGGGATTTCAAAATGGTTTTGATCAAAATTGTAATACGAGGTTTCTTTGTAACAGGAGTTTGTAATACAAGTGTGACAATGTGAAGCAAGGATCAAAGAGAACTAAGATTAGTGGCATGGAGACCTGCTGACACCGTCTGGTCTAGTCCACATTCCATCTTGTCTGTGAAATCCAACTGGTCAGGCCTCCCCCTTCAGCCCTTCTCTCATCTCTGTAACAGTCCCCACAACACAAAGCTTCACACTAAACAACTGAAACATTAGGCCTCTAGAAAAATCTTCAAGTTTGTGATAAAAACATTTAATCACTACTCATTTGTTACTCATTTATTTAATCACTACTACTATTTAATAACTACTCATCTAGTGCTATCACCTACTTCTTGACATACCCAGAAGCCAGCTATCACAAAAGAGAACTTGGCCAAGGAAGCCACCAAAGAAGGAGACAACCATACTTCTTTCAAGTTTGTACTGTGTCTCCAGGCCTTGATTTAAGACTTGCTTGCCAAATGATCGATTCCACCTCTTCTTCCTGTCTTAGTCTTCCTTCCTTTTTTAATTTTTACCCACTTTATCTTAGGGAGGTATACAGAAATTACTATTCATGTTTGAAAGCCATCTTAATGAATTTCTTTCAACTACCCCTATTTGGTCAATATCTCAATTAAAGTTATTAAGGAGTTATTTCCATTTGATTTCAAATATATTTTACAGCTTGAACATTTATAGTATTACAGGTAAATACCTAACACATTTTCCATTTATGTGTTAATCAAAGACAAGCATTCAATTCTTCCTTAGTAGTGTTTATTGTTTTTAAAATGGTATTTAGTACTTTCCTTGAGCACTTAAGTGCTCTAAGTCACATGTAATTAATTTTTGTAACAACACTGAGGAGTGAAAATGATTACTTCACAGACAGTAAGAGAAATATTGGACAGGCAGACTACTGAGCAAAATTGCTCCAAACTCCTGATTGCTGATCTTCATTATCCTGACAAAGGAACCAGTGAGCCTCTTACCCAGCTATTCGTCACCCACTTAGCCATACAGAAAGTAAACACACAGTGCACAAAGGGAGGCATAACCACTCTACACTAAAGCCTCAATGAGGCGATGCTGTCACTGTTCTAAGTCTCAGGAGTTTTTAATACAGTAATTATAGTTACCAAGAGGCAGCTCATTACAGCTCCTCTTCTAATTCAGATGCTGCCAAGCAAGACATCACAAGTATGCCATTCTTCCCTAAAGAAAATCCACACCAGGAAGCTAGATTCCTGGAGGGTTTTTATAGGTAGGTAGTGGCCAGATTGACTTCATGTTTTTCTTTTTAAATTTTTTTGTTATCTTTCAGCAGTTGTACAATGGGCGTTTCGATTCAGCATGTCTATACAACATAACTTGATCATTCTTCCATCAGTCTTCTCCATCTTTCTAATCCTGTTCATACCCTCAAATTGCCTGGGTCCATTTTCACATTTGTACATTGAATATCATGACTGCATTCACCCCTTTGTATTACCTACTGTCCTCAAAACTGCCACCTCACTTATCAGAGAGGAGTGAAGAACCCAGAGGGGAGGAGAAAGAGAATGATTAAGTACCAGGGCTTAGCAGGGAAAGGGGGCCAAGGAAACAGATGAAGTGAACAGATAAAGAAGTGACCTATGGCCAGCAGGGTAGACTTTGGGAGACGGATCCCGACCAAGTTTATTTTTTGCTTGCTGGTACATTTCAGTAAAACGTGAAGTTTACAAAAGTTAAAGTTTAAAGACAGAATGTTAGTAAGGACATTTAAGTTAAAAAAACTACTTCTCAGTTTGGCACCATGGGACTAAAGATTTTTAAACTGCCTACGGCAAAACTAAACATTTTAAACTGCATGGAAAAGTAGATTCTCTTGGTGTTTTGAGGTTTGGGACGAATACAGGAATATTTTTCATAAGGCCTGAACAGTTCGTCCGAAATGAAGGAAATTTGACTTCTTCTGTAAAAGACGAAGCTGCGAGCTTCAACGACCTCTAAGCAAATACACTCACCGATCGCTTAAAAATAGAATACACAAAACTATCGGAAGGGGGCACTTCCGGAAGAGGACGGAGTTAACTTCTACAAAGCCGGCCTCCGCGCTGAGAGATTAAAAAAAAAAAAAAAAGACTATTCTTTCCAAAACCGAATCCCCCGAACCACGGCAAGAACAACTCTGTCATCTCTTTGGCTCCCATCTATTTTCTTCTCCTCACTACTACTGCTGCTGCCGTCCCCCCGCCACGATTAAAAACGAACATTTCCGTCTTTCAATCACCAAGCCAGGCTCAGGGTGCCGGAGACACTTGGGAGAGAATCCCCCCCCCCCGTCTTGGGAGGTGGCGTGGTGAGAAGGACCCCGGGGAGATGCCCGGCCTTGACATCTCCCGGGGAAGACGGGGAGCCCTGCGGCCCGGCCTCCCCCGCCACCATCCGCCGCAGGCACTGCGCTTTTGTCCGGGGCGGGGACCCCCCCACCCCCGGCCCCCTCCCGCCCGACTCTGCCCGCCCCGGCCCCGGCCCGGCCCTCAGGGCTGGCTGAGGCCTGGCGGGCCGGGGACGGCGGTCCCGCCTGGTCCCTCACAGCCCGCGCCGGGGCCCTCGGGGCGGCCTCACCTGCATGCCGGGGGCCCCGGGGTCGACCCCCGTGTCCAGCACGGCGATGAGCACTCCCCGCCCGTCATACTCCGGGTAACGGCAGAGGAACGAGGCAGCTCCGGTCTCTTTCTTCGGCAGGAGACCGTGGAAAGGGAAGGGCTCCTCGGTCGTGGCGGTGGCCATGGGCGCCGGCGGGAGGACGACGAGGAAGAGGCAAACCGCCAGGCCGCGCGCGACGAGCAGCGCGAGGACACCCAGGCGACCGAGGCCGGCGGAGCGGGCGAGGGGCGGGGCCTGTCGGCCGACAGCCAATCAAGGCCCGCCAGGCCGAGGCGACCAATTACGCCTCGCTACGTAACCTAACGGCGCCGCTCTGGGTAGCCGAGTGCCTGAGTTGTCCTGGCTGCAGAGAAGGGGGCGGAGCCTCGGTGCGTTGTTGATGTTGTTGTTGTTGTCGTTGGGCCTGGTTCTCGAACCTGGGGACTTGAGAGAGACACCCACGGTTGGGGATTTTTGAGGATTTGGGGATTTTGGCCTTGATGCATAGGGTCCTGCCGTCCTAGACGGAGCGCCGCCCGCCGGAGAGGCGGGGATCTCGGGCCTGGAGGACGAAGGTCTCCACTTGACGTGGTGGCCGAAAGTTTTGGGGCCCCGCTGGTGTCGCGAGGGCCGCAGCCCCGGGGCGCGGGCCGGGCACGGGGGCAGGCGCGCTTCTCTGCGCCTCCGGAGCCCGCGGATCGCGGCCCAGTCTCCAGCACTGGTTTCTGTGAAAGAGACGGGTCTTGGGTTTGGTGGCGAAGGTTCCTCGTGCTGGGCCTGGTCGCGCGTGGCGAGGGCAGCGCGGCAGGCAGTGGGGTCCTGGCCGTTCTGTTGTCTGTGTGTGGCCGGTAACAAAGCCCGAGAAGGAAATGGGTCCCTGCTATTTTAAGTGCTTGCCCTTGGCCTCCAGGATTGCTGAAAAACATTATCTCCCCTGCACACCACCCCTCTCTACCCGCACCCCTAAATTGAAGTTCCTGATTGAGCCTTAAGGCCGGCGGGACGACTCTCCACACAATCAGGGAGACATAATCTGCAGTTTTTCAGATTCAGGTTCACAGTAAGAACCATCTGTCGCTGCACTTGAGAGATCTGGCGGCCCATTTCAGGGCAATCAAGGCTTTTTTCGTGTGCCAGATACCCCTGTGGCCATCTGACCTGGCCTCTGGGCAGCACTATTTTTTAAAGCACCTCATGAAACCTATAGGATGATAAGGGATATTAATTGTAAAAGGCACTTTTCAAGAATTCTGTTTCAGTAGCTTTATATAGATGTGTGTGTGTGTGTGTGTGATTGCAGGTGTGCTTTCTGCATTAACAGGAGCTAGTACCACGTTTAATTCATACCACAATTTCAAAGTAGTAAAGCAAGCATAAATGGCACTTGGGCATATTTATCTGAATTTTACTGATGAAAGAGTAAACTGCAATACCACCCTCTGGTTATTGTGTACATCTATGATTACAGGAAATATTCAATTAAGAGGTTAAAATACAGATGCTTTTTATACCCCTTGTATTCTATTTAGGGACTCCCAAGTTAAGAATGACTGGTAAAGAGAATGTCTATATGTGCCAGTTTCCAAACAAGATTTAGGAGACCATGAATTCTCAGTAACTGCCCTATGAGCTATGCAGTAGTTCCAGCTATATCGATCATTTACTTATTCCATAAGATCAGAGAAGCGTATTCTCTTTAGTGGAGAGTAAAAGAGAAAAGGTAATTATTTTCCTTTTTAATTCCCATTGTTGGCCATAATATCTATAAACAAATCTTTTTTTGGGGGGGGTCCGGTTGCGGGGCCTGAACTCTGGGCCTGGGCACTGTCCCTCAGCTCTGCAGCTCAAGGCTAGTGCTCTACCACTTGAGCCACAGCGTCACGTCCAGCTTTTTTCATTTTGCTTATGTGGTGCTGAGGAATCGAACCCAGGGCCTCAGGCATGCAAGGCAAGCACTCTACCACTGAGCCATCTTCCTAGCCCCTATAAACAAATCTTTAAGTACTTGGACAGAAAGAAAACATGTATAAGAAACTCAGAAGGCATTTAATATAGAGCCTATAAAGATAGAATGTTCCAGATAAACTCTAGTCCAATCACTTTTTTTTTTTTTTTTACAGACATGGGGCTTGAACTCAGGGCTTGAGCACTGTTCCTGAACTTCTTTTGCTCAAGGCTAGCTAGCACTCTACCACTTGAGCCACAGCACCACTTCTGGCTTTTTCTGTTTATGTGGTACTGAGGAATTGACCCCAGGGCTTCATGCATGCTATCACTACCACTGAGCCACATTCCAAGTTCCCCAATTGCTTCATTTTACATAAGGATACAAAAGGGATAATGATGATGAGCAAAAACCAGACCTGGAAGAGCTGGATTACTGTTTTCATGGATTTCCCCCAGTATTTCCTACCATTACTTATGTACCTCTGTGTTACAGTATGACTTCCTATCCAAAGAACAGGGAATGAACTATTTATTATGAAACCTAAGTGTCAGACTATTGTTAGACTCTTGTAACAGTATGCTTTATGTTATCACTATTATTATTTTGTTTTGGCAGCACTGGAGTTTGAACTCAGGGCCACTTGCTAGGCAATTGCTGGGCTACTGAGCCCTTCTAGCTGTTTCATGGACTGCTGAAAATGAGCCCGGACAATGATCCACTTATTTTTGGCATTCTATCATATTTGGGATGGCAGTCACACACCACCATACCCAGTTTCTGTTGAGATAGAGCTTCTGGACTTTACTGCCAGGGCTGTCTCCATCTCAGCCTCCTATGTAGCCAGGATGATAGGCCATGCCACACCTCCAGCTATACACGAAGGAGTCTTGTTAACTTTTTGAACTGGCCTGGGTTAGAACCATGATCCTCCTGATCTCAGCTTCTAAGATAGCTAGGATTTAAAAGTGTGAGCCATCGGTGCCTGGCAGGTTGTTGTTTTTTACTGTGTACCGTACAAAAGTGTTTTAGAAAAATTATATATCCCTCTGTACAGTTGAGGATGATACCTGTATTTGTCATTAATTTAGAAAATTATGAACAACATAATTTAAGGCATATAATACATTTCATGAATTTTTATAATCACTCATTTACATATATCCAGTTGAATATCTGATGTTTCAATACCTATCATCATTTATAAAATAACCAGTTACATGCTTTACATAACTGTCTTAAAACTTTATTACCATTCTACATAGGTCATAATGTGATTTCCATTGGACCTATTGTAAGTAAAAATCATTCAAATATATCTGTCAGTACATGTATAATCAAAATCTGTCCATTAAAATTTTTCTTTTGGATTATTACAAAGTTGATCAAAATAATATGAATAAATCTCAAACTGCTTTAAAATGACAGAACATGGGGTAGGAATACAGATAAGAGATAGTACACTCCTAGAATGTATAAAGCTCTAGGCTCAATCTCTAGTACCTTAAAAAGAGAAGGTCAAAAATTATACAAAAGGCTGGGCACCAGAAGTTCATGACTGTAATCTTAGCTACTCAGGGAGCCTAGATCTGAGATTCAAGGCCAGCCCAAGCAGGAAAGTAAATAAGACCATTAACTCCATTTAACGACAAAAAATATCTGTAAGTGGAGCCATGGCTCAAGTAGTAGAGCACTAGTTTTGAGGACAAAAGCTCAGGGACAGGGTCCAGGCCCTGAATTCAAGCCCTAGGACCAACACACCATGTATGCATGTGAGCGCGTGGGTGCACACACACACAATTGTAGAACAAAAAAAGTTGAATGGAAAAATTTTTATTGGAAAATGTAGCTATTAAACAGATACATTAACAAGTCATACTTGCATTAATGACAGGGCTAGTCTAGTTACAACAGGGTTTTCATGACTGTTTTTCTTGTAAAACTGGAACCATCAGCTGCTAACCTTCCAGGAAGCATGACCGGGGTAGGAAAGACTTGTATAACTTGCCTTAAAGGTGACATTAACGAGATTTAGAAGCACAGCTGCTCCCATTTTATGAACCACTCATCTGACAAATGTCATCTTTTGCTATAACCTTTGTCTAAATGGGAGAAAAGGTGGATTTAATGAGACAAATGAAAAGTTTAACATAACACACAGTAGAGCACTGTATGCTGCTATGCTTTTGTGTTTATTTCCTAGTCCTTGTTCTTCAAGGTAGATTCTGGAATGATTTGAAAGACTGTACCCTTTTTTCTAATAATCATATTCTTAAAATTTGTTCTTGGTTTCAAAAACCAAAAGATTCATGGACCAGGGGATTGGTGGCTCATACCTGTGATGTTAGCTATTCAGGAGGTTGAGATTTGAGGATCACAGTTCAAACTCAACCTGTGTTTCAAAGTGGTAGAGGGAAAAAAAATTCATGGGAAAGGATGGTGAAGGTTGGAGGATGGAGGCTAGTCTAGGCAAAGTAAGACCCCCATCTTAAAAAAAGGGGGGGAGGGGAATGGCTCAGTTGTTAGAATGCTTACCTGGGCACCAGGCATAATACCTAGTACAAAAAAAATAATGAAATAACACATAGGCACTGGACTTTGAATAAACAAAGCTTCAGGTTGTGTAACTCTTGCTCTATAAAAAGTGAGAGATCGGGAGGGTGACACTGTTCAAAAAGAATTGTACTCCTTACCTGACTTATGGAACTAACCCCTCTGTACTTTACCTTTACAATACATTTTTTTCAAGTAAGAAATCCAGCCATAAAAATAGGAAGTGCAAAGGAGAACCAATGTGACCTTTTGCCAAATACATATTGTCAGGATCTTTTAAGAATCTAAAAATTATGTAGGAATTATTTGTGACTTGAAGACTATTTATTATACAATGCTTGAAATCACTTGAATTCAATACAAAGTCATTTAATTCATTACTTTGTCTTTAAGTTATAGTGTTTTACATGTTGTTTGTTTATAATTTTCTTTTTTGATTTAATGTTATTCTAACTGCCCCGGGGCGGGGGTTGGGAGGGAAAGGGGGAAGAATATCTAAATGGTAAGTCAGTTTGTGCTACTTGACAACATGCCCGTTCACTGAATGTGGGAAAGAAAGGAGTTAGAGGGTAGTTGGCAAGGAAGAGGCAATATAGATACATAAAACAAGACTTAGGTAGGGGAGGAGAACAGGGAGGAAAGAGCAAAGTAAGGTCATTAGACCAAGGTGTCAGTAACACTATGTAAGATAAAATAAAAACTGATACCCCAAGTCTCTCACATACCATTGTCCAAAGCAGGAAG